ATTTAAATCTTATTTAAGTTGTTTTGAAATAATGGACATTTTTCAAACATTACAAAAAATTAATCTTGGATAGGTTTGGATCCAACCCCAAAAGTTTGGTCAGTTAAACAAGTAAATAAAAAGGAATGGTTTGATTTTTTTTTTCTAGAGTTCCTTTATCAACAGTTTTTTCTGAATACTTTTTTTCTGGGCAGCTATTTTTGATGTTTTAAAAAAAAAAATTTTTTTTTTTTTTTAGATATGCCAGGATACTGTTCTTATCCTCCACTACACAAAAGGATACATATAAGTGAGTACTAAAAGCAATGTCATTTTTGTCTCACTGCAAATTTTGTAGTGGTTCAAAATAAAAATTAGGACAACAATTTATGAAAAATTGAGGACAAGATCAGGAAACTTTTTGGTGCAATACACACATACTAGACTATCACCTCTTTGAAAATTACACTTAGTGTAGTATATTTCTTTAATTGTATGCAATCTAAAAAAAATAAAAACATGGGCAAAATTCTAAGTTTTCAAATAAAAAAAACCTGATATTTACAGTTATTTTCACGTAACAACAAATTACTTCAAAACGTTAATAGTATATAATCAACATACTAAAGAATAAATCCATACAAAAATATATAAATAAAAAAACAGGAAAATCGTAATCTGGAAAAAAAGATCATCAAAATAAAAAGTTTAAAAAAAACTAAGATGTTAAACCAGTGACTCAAAGTAAATGGACACTTAAAAGTACTTTCGATAACAATAAATGAAAAGTGTAAAAAATGAAAAGCAATATTTTCTTTGTAATTCTACATACAAGAGAAAAAATTTACTACTCAAAAATTTTAATAAGTTTTTCTTTATGTGGAAGAAAGATTTTAATGTGGATGAAAGATTTCTTCTTTGAAAAATTTGCTCTATCCTATGCATGAATGACATCTGATGTACATGACCTTGGGATATATGCCTATGACTGGCTTGTGGTGGAAAGAGGTGTAAAATGATAAAAATTTAAAACAATTCTTTTAGAATGTTCAGGTTCAAAAGAAAACTTTTGTTCCAAAAGTGATATAGTAAAAATTTGTTTTAAGAAAAATAAAAGATTTTCATTTTTTCACATTATCTCCTTTTCCATTTGATAAAGGTTTCTGTTAAATACACATATAGTTTTTTTTTCAAATTTAAATAGGTCTAGTTTCTTGCATTTCTTTCTACTGAAAGATATTTAAAAAAAAAATATATATATCGATTAATTTTTTTTAAATCTTATGAATCATCTTTGTAAGCTGAAATGGTGCATTCTGAACAAAAAAATCGGGATAAAGCGATAAGAATCAAGACAAATAAGAAGAGAATAATTTTAATCAAGAATATCAGCACAACTATGAACCCTGCATACTGCAAGATAATTTAGTTTCTTTAAAAAAGAACAACAGATAAGTAGGTCTCCAAATTATGTTGCACTGAAAATGACATACATCATAATTATAAATGAAATATCGCTATGATTAATATATTCTTATTATATAATTAGAAAAATAAAGCAAAATTGCCGGAAAAATCTCATTTTTCTTATGTCATTCAATACCACTTAATTCTATGTTTTAAGTATCTATATTTTTGCCCAGCATTAGCATTTTGTTTTGAAAAAAAAATCTACTAATAAAAAAAATGTATGAAATTTGTATAAATTTAAGGGTGCGTATGTAATTTGCAAAATGAACAACAAAAAAAAGACTCTTAAACTATAACTTTGATTACACCACCACTTTTTGGTTAAGAATCTCCGACTTAAGTCTCAATATAACAGTGGTGCTAATATGAAGACACTAGCCTTTCTGGTGCTTGTGTCAATGAGAAAATTTAAAAATTTAAAATGCATTCTTAAATTATACAAAAATATTTGTTCAGATTTGCAAAAAAAATTGGCCCTGCTAAAAAAAGAAAGTTTATTTAAGTCTATTAAGCTTGCAATGACTAAATAAATTTCAATGGATTACTATAAAAGATCCTTCTAACAACAGAAAATTGTTAGTAAAAAAACAGATGAACATAAAATTGGAATTTTAGATGGTGAGATAAGTTTATTAAGAAAATGGTACCTCTAACGTTTTTCTTTTAGATCTGACAAAGAATTAAATTTATTTTCTAATATTTTGTCCATTGTACAAATATGGTGTTTAAAACTTTTTACTTTTTTCACTTTTAGGTCTGTATCTATAAGTTTGTTTATGTCAGAAAGTGAGAAAATGTTTGATTGGCAAATTCTTCCTGAAACAGCCAGAATTTGATTGACACTTTCATAGTCATTCAGTCAAAATTTAAGCCCTCTGGCTAGTCTGAAAATAGACGGAATTTTGATTTGAAGGCTTTTCCAGTACCAAAACGCTTAGATACAAAAAAATAAAATTTAATAATGCATTGTCCTAAAAAATAATGTAGTAGCCAATATAGTTTTAATTTTATTATTTTGCTACTTTTTTTTATATATGTATTGCTTTACTTGGATATAAAAATTATTTACTATTATGCATGCTAAAATTATGCATTGAAGTTTTGGAATGTGCAAACGTTTGGGGGAAATGTTGTTTCGAATGCTTACTGCAACCACAAACCTTTTTTTATGGTCATCTAACACTCAATGCAATGATCCTGATCAAACATTTATGTTTTTGTTATAAGTTTTTAAGGAAAACATAAAGTAAATCAAACTGGTTATGGATACCTAAAAGTGAAAAGTTGTATATTCATATTTCTGGCTAAAGCAATTTATTAAAGCAATTATAATAATTCACTACATTGTTTTGTATATGTTTCACAAAAGAGTTACTACTTAATATTTATAACATATTACTAAATTTCTACAAGTAAATTTATAATTAAAAATGTTAGGACCTAAGTATTAGTGCTTAGCTAAGTGGCTGCTGATCATTCCGTTTTTACTGCTAACAAAACTGTTCTTAAGAATTTCTGCATTCACATACATGATGTGAATTGATGTTCATTTAAAAGTTAGATAAATTTAAAATCAAAGAAGCTTAATAATTAAAAATTATATATCAAAATTGAATAAAGCTTTTAGTTTCTTAAAAATTATTAGGATAACTGCAATTATTATATATTTTTAATGTTCTTAGTCCTATAAAATAGTAGATGTGTTGATAACTTATGTCAAAAAAGTGTGAACTTTTGTCAAAAGTTTGAACCTATGTTAATTTCACGACAGCATGATTTTTAAATATTTTGCACACTTCTAAGTTAGTCTTTTTCTTCCGTTTACTTGAATTCAACCTATTCAATCTAGAATGATTTGAAAGACTCGTTTTGCTAAGATATTCAGTTCTCTCTCTTTCTCTGTCATTGTTAACAGACAAAAGACTTATCAAACTGTTGTGTTACACAGCATATCAATTCCATGTAAAATTCATACACACTGTTGTGCAAAGCTGGTTTGCAAAAATGTTAAGTAAGCTAATGTTGCAAACACTCAAAATAGTGGCTATAGCAGAGTAAAATAAACTGGCCATTAATATACCTTAATATAATAGATCCCATATCTTAAGATAATATACCTTTCATAAGATAATATACCTTAAGATAATAGACCCATTTTATTTATTTTGCTAAACCCATAGTTGAAATATGGAACAATATGGATATATTTAGCCAAATGGATTTCATATGGATTGATTTAGCCAAAAAGGATTATAGTATTTTATAAGAGGAAAAAAAAAAGAATTGCCAAACAAAGAGAAGTCTTTTGAAAAGAGCTGTTAAGCCATTGAGAAAAAAGAATGAAGTATTCATCAAATTCAATTAGGTAAACTTTCTATAAGAATAATGTAATGAGGTTTACTTACCAATTCCAATATTGGGATACAATTTTCCATCCACACTTGTTGGTGACATAGACATTGTTGATCTGAAACAAAAAAGAAAAAAGCTTCAACAATATTTCAGTAGAGACAGGTTTAAAGATAACATACTCTTAATTTTTTAACTTAAATATTACTATTAAACCAATTTCATTGTTTTAAAGTAAATTTTATTTTTTTGCTTCCGATTTGTTTAAATATTTTGCCTGTTTGTCTTATGCTAAAAGACAAACAGGCATGCATCATAATTTCAATTTAATTTTACTTCCTGCTAAAATCATGTGTGACCAAATCTCATCTTTGTGTAGTTTTATAATAGTATCGGTAAGATATGTAGAAAAAAGCTATTTAACGTTGTAAATCATAGTTATATATACATATAACTTGAACTGCTTTCCAAAAAGAGGTGCGCTTTATTAAAATAAGGAGAAAATATGAAAGAAACAATTCAAACAAAACTATGCCGGAAATAAACTTTTTTGTTCATTTTCTTTTATATAAAATTCAGAAGTGGTCTTTTTTTAAGAAATTATGGCTGAAAAAATTCATGTAGCTTTCTTTCACTTGAAAATAGTTTGTGACTGCCCCCAAAGAAAATAAACATTGTTACCTTAGTAATCAAACATTTCTTCTTACTGAATTAATTGACTATTGATTGATATCAAATAAATCAATATTAAAGCAAATTCTTACCCTAATATTCAATGAAAGCTTTGAGAGAGACACGAAGAAGTGATTAATTATTATTAGTTATTCTACAAACTAGACGGCAGCCGCACTAAATCACCAGACCACAATTGTAAACAAATACCTTTTAAACAACAAACGTCAAACCTAAACATTCCTACATCGCAATTTTAAGAACAGCTGATAGTTATTTGGTAATATAGGTAGCGCTGTATATGGTAAATGACTATTTGTGTTTATAAAAGTGCCATTCTTTTTCAACTTTATTTTTCTACAGGAAAATATCTTTTACCAATCAGGTTTTCATTCCTTCCCGTCAACGATTGGAAGTGCATAATCCACATTTAAAGAGAATGGCCATTAAGCTGTTTCATTACAGTGAAGCATTCTCACTGCATATGATTCAGATAGCGCGTCGTAAATGTCATTCGCGCTTTATTGAAATTTCTAAGCACTGCGAATGGCTCTTAAGGATTTCGTCCCGCAACCATGATTTGCTCTCGTCAGGAACTTTAGTTAGCGTCATCTATAGGCGATTCTTGGAAAATTAATATTTTCTAGAAAGTGCCATTAAAGCGTGTAATTGCGGACGAATTCCAGAAAAAAAAGACCTCCACCAGTCTGACTTGCTGCTGTTGCTGGGACATGTGAGCATCGCCGTGTATTATTTAGGGGAATATTGAATAATTCTCTTTGAAAAGATTTTTCAATCTCATTAACCCATATTTTGTCCAAAACAGACTAAGAAGTTGTTTTTCATAGATATCTGTTTAATTTTAGTGCAAAGCTTTTTCTAAATAATTTAATTAAGGTCTATGGCTCTATATTCCCCTAAAATGTTTGTGAAATTTCGCATTAAATATAACACTAGTAATTTAAGTATAGCTAAATCTATTCTCTCTGTTTTATGAGGTTGGCTGCTAATAATTTTGGTAAGAATAGTTCTATGTATGTCATGTTGTGAATTTTATTGATGTTTTATTTCTTAAAAGAGATTAATATATTGAAATTACTGTAATTGAAGCTCTCCCTGTATTTTTAAGTAAAATTCATTTTAACTTATTTGCAATTGTTTAATTTAAATGAATGCATGGTCTTCAAGGCTTGTTAGTCTACAAAATGCGCGCTAAAAAACTTTCTATGGCATATTTGTCTACCTATAATTCTGTTAAAGACTAGCATTAACATTAACTGTATCAATAATTTATACTTAATATTAATCAGAAGTAAAATTAAGGGATCGAGTATTATTTATGTTCATGTTTTTACTTATTTTATTGCAACGTTTGGGATGAACAACTATTTATTAATAAAGCTAAGCATAGCTTGGGAAATAAAATAAAAAATAACTTAATTTTTTCATTTGCTGTATTTGTCAACTAAATTTTGGCGCAATTTTTTAATCTTAATATACTTATCCAAAGGAATGTATTTTTTTTAAGTACTGTTAATTATTGACATACCCTGTTGGAAATACAAGATCCAGGCATATCAGGTAATGACTTGGTCCTGTTGTATTTAAGTATGGGAGGTACTTCAGTGTTCTCCTCTTTGCCATTTTTGTTAAAAGAAGCAGTCATCCCTAAAAAATACTACCTTTTTATTTTTTCACGAGAAGATTGTTTTCTTAACCAATTATTTTCATGAGAAGTCCATTTCTGATTTATTTTGTTATTGGTAATTATTTAACATTAATGTCTCATTTTATTCCTTCATTTTAGTAAGATTTTTCTTATGTTATAGTTAAATTTTGCTTGATGTTCGGACCAAGGGATATTCATATCTCTTATTTGGAGTTTTTTACTGATTTTAAAGTTTATATTTTTAAGTAAATACTTTTTATTAAAAAATAAACTTAAATTTTTTCTCGTAATTTTCAGCTTAAAATGTAGGAAAAGCTTTCAAGTTGATAATCTTTTTTATTTTGGTTTGCTTTAACTTTTGTTATTTTGATAATGAGTGAGGATTACTTTGTGAAATGTACAAATAAAATAGCATAAAGGGGTAATTTAAAGTTCAGGATCAAAGTCAGTTATCATAATAATTACATATTTTGATAAATTTTAATAGTATGGTCATATTTTGATTTTAATGGTTTCAAAACTCTGTGCCCTTTTCTGTGAGGAAGTGCCCTGCCCTTTTTTTATTCCTAGGGAGAACTGTGCTTTCTTCATTGATTTTATATTAACCTGATGCATGTATAATTGCAGTTTCTATTCCCATTGGAAGGTCCATGCTGATCCATTCATTCCAATGTAGCAAACAATTTGTTTTTTATTCAAAAAGCTGAGTGTTAATAGTTTTCCAATTGAATAAGAATCAATGGGTGGGCAATGTTACACATAAATTTTTTTATACATATTATTGCTTTACAATTATATATATTGCTATTGCAATATATAGAATTACGGAATAAATTTGAAAAATCTTGTATTTTCTATATCAGCGGTGTGAGTAATTAAACCACTCTGCACCATGACACGAGGGTGCACGAACTTTGAGAGTCCACAATCCAGAAATAATACATTATATATTAATTTTTTGACACTGTAAATCTAAATACAGTTTTCCGATTGCTTTTTTCACTTTTGAAGTTCTTTCAGTCCATTTTATAGTTTATCCAAGTGAGTTTTCGGAGGTTATTTTTAGATTTTCATGTGTTTCTTAAAATCCCGAACTTTTTAATACAAATAAGACTCGCGACTTTGTGTCATGCATATAATCACTTTTGACCAGCTTTATTTGTGCCAATTTCATTGCAAGCCGGAGATTTTTATCGCTGTTTCGAAGGCATTTAAGCCTAGGAAGCTAGGCATTTCCGTGCGGTTTCAAAAATCTAATTTTTGGTAGTTTAAAAAACTGTTTTAAAACTTAACATTCATAAAATCTCTTATAATTCACTAACAATAAGTGTCCTAATGTTAAAAATATATGAAACTTAGTCCCAACTGAATGGTGAAGCTAATTTTGAGCTATAATGTGTTTGTTTTATTTTAAATAATTTTAGATGCCATGCAATTTCTTTAATTTGCATTTATGTTGCTCAATAAAGTATATTTTTCTTACTTTCATTCAAGAACATTACGGTTAGTTCATTTTAAAATTTACTTTTTGTATTACTGGATGAGATAAATAATAAAACTCTTTTCTCCTTGTTTATATTTTTAGATAAATTCATTTTATTTTCTTATAAAAAGGAAATATATATGTATTTTAAAAGTATAGATTGTTTTTTTTCCCCCCATTTTGGTTGAATTTAATGTTTAAATTAAGATAATTTCATGCATATATATTACTAAGTTGACCAATGAAACGAACTGTGTTTAATTGTTTTAAAATTTATAAGTTAATAGGTATAAATTAAAATGAATAATTAGAAATTTCCAACAAAAAATCCGTCAACATATCTAGATATTTTGGTACATAGCCCTTCATTCAAGAAGATTGTGCATCCTACTACAGTAGAGAACCGATTATCTGGGACGATCGCCAGGGTTGGCAGGTTTTTGACATGTGACAGTTTTTGACAGTTTAAACCATGGTTTAAACCGTNCATCGCTATTCCGGATAACTGATTTTACCGGTTTTCTGAATCGCTACAAAAAGCAGTTTTTTTTTTACTGTTAAACCCAACTAAAAGAAAATTATTTGGAAATAATCTTGAAAAACGAAGTACAGTACAGAATCCGGAAATCAGAAAACCGGAACGAAATTCGATAAATTTTACCGCCATTTTTTAAAAAAAAAATATTTCCTCATAAGGTTTTAGGGTTTTTCTTTCTTTTTTGGAAAAATGTTTACCTTACTATCATTTTGGAAATAATCATTAGTGTATTACTTCGTTTTTTCTTTTTNAACGATCGGGACCATCGCTATTCCGGATAACTGATTTTTCCGGTTTTCTGAATCGCTACAAAAAGCAGTTTTTTTTTACTGTTAAACTCAACTAAAAGAAAATTATTTGGAAATAATCTTGAAAAACGAAGTACAGTACAGAACCCGTTATCCGGAAATCAGAAAACTGGAACGAAATTCGATAAATTTTACCGCCATTTTTAAAAAAAAAAATATTTCCTCATAAGGTTTTAGGATTTTTCTTTCTTTTTTGGAAAAATGTTTACCTTACTATCATTTTGGAAATAATCATTAGTGTATTACTTCGTTTTTTCTTTTTAAGATTATTTCCAAATATTATTTTTTTTAGTTGGGTTTAACAATAAAAATGTCTTTTTGTAGCGATTCAGAAAACCGGAAAAATCAGTTATCCGGATTAGCGATGGTCCCGATCGTTCCGGATAATCGGTTCCCTACTGTAATACACTAATGATTATTTCCGAAATGATGGTAAGGTAAACATCTTTCAAAAGAAAAAGAAATATCCTAAAATCTTATGAGGAAGAAAACATTTTTTTAAAAAAATGGCAGGAAAATGTATCTAATTTTGTTCCGGTTTACTGATTTCCGGATAACGGGTTCTGTTCTATATTAAAATTTTTTAATTAACTTGAAGAATAAAAATAACCTATAACTATCTTTGAATATAGTTATTGTGATTTATTTCCTCATATTAAGATAAATTTCATTTCATTCTGGTTAGTCAGTCTGTGCAATGCAGAGTTTTAAAAAAAGCCCTACCTGGGTGGGTTTTTTTACGATATTACCTAGTTTAATGCTTTTTAGGTTTAATTTTTAATTCAAATGAGAACAATTTTAATAAGGAAAACTTTTGTACGAAAATAATTACGTTATGAATTAAAGAGTCTTAATGTTGTACTATCTTTTCATGCTGGTATTAATGAAAGACTTAATAAATTCTTTCCTTGAGTAAAAATAATAAATTGGGATCAGAGAATCAGAGAATTTTTTTTTTTTGTTTTATTTATTTTTAAACATTTATAAAGTAAGCTTTTTGCAGGCCAACAAAGTGCAAAACTGTTTATTTAACAATTTTTTAGTAGTTTTAGGAATTACTCTTTAAATTACATATTTATAGTTATCTTCCATATAAATATTCCAGAATCAATATATTTAAGATAAGTATGAAATCCCTTAAAATTTTTCTGTTCATCTATTTCTCATTACTAAAGAAACCCGTGGCAGAATCACAGCGACATTGTCGCAGAACGTTACAGAGTTCTTGCAGAAAGATTTTTCTTTTGAAAAAAATATTAAAAATTAGTACGTATAATTATTATGTTTGCTCTCAACTTATGACGATAGTATTATAAATCGATGTAATGTTTCTGTTATATTTTCGGCAGTTGTTGATATTGATTTTCACGTGGATATTAAATATCCTGATATATTTCAAACTATATGGAAAATTCGAAACAATATTGTTATTGATTTCTCCATAGTTTTTAAGTCCGATATTTTTTATATGATTTATTATTTATTACAACAACGTAATCTCGAAACGAAACGCGAATTTGAGGAACCCGATTCGCGTGATTTCGTCCTCAATCTTTTTTTCGGCAAATACAGACTTCATGATTTTTAATTACATTTTTCATTATGATAATTATTTACAATATGCGAAGAAGGAAATAATTTCTGTGCCCCCAACAACATGCGNCCCCCCCCCCCCCGCACACACAATTCGAGAATATCACCCATAATATTAGAATAAAAATTTATTACATGTATACACAACACTTTTATTATTTTAAATTAGTGACGTGTATGTTTGTTATTGTTAAAAGTATCTTGCAGAAAGATATTAGTGCTACAGTGTTTGTCACAGATAGCTGGAAAAATTCTGCCACAGGGCTAAAGAAATGCAACAACAAATACAATACAGGATGGTTTCCTGAGCTTGAATTAATTTTGGAGATCCATCATGTTTGACAGACAGAAGAGACTGGGTAAAATGGATAGGAGATAGAAATGAAAAATAACATTCTCATTCATCTCTTATCTAGTAAAGAATTTAAGCAAACTTCTTTTGAGAAAGAGGATAAAATGATTGACAGATGTTCTCATTTGTATCTTATCTAGTAACCTCTACTCATAACATATTCTCTTTTGTCTGTCAAACATGATGAATCACCAAATTTTAAGCTAACTTTTAAGAAAGAGTGAATGGAATTATTCAGTACTGTCAAAAACCCTTTATTGGGGATTGAAATGGTCTACAGGTAACTTAGGGCAAAACTATCTACCTAAGGCAGCACTTCCTCTGCTTTCACCATTAGCCTGTAGAAAGTCTTAAAAGGAAGTACATTAGTTTGTCTTGATTTTCAAATAGATTAAAAACTTTATTAAAGTTAGGAAACTATATGGAACTGGAAGCTACATTGAAATTAGTTTTAAGAGAAAGCGTCATGGAAATTTTAAACAATATTTTTGACAGTTAAGTACAAAAAATATTAACAAAAAAATCTTAAGAGTGTTGTGATCATGAATAAAGAAATTCTCAGCCAATCAAATACTCTTTAAGGGGCGAGATCAGCTGGCATGTGCGGAATTTTGAACCTCTCCCTAAATTTGAAAAAATCAAGATGTGTTTAAATATAATTCTATAAAACCTTATATTTTATAGTAAGAACGCATATCTTTATTAGTCAGTGTCAGAATCTTATTGTGATCTATTTTATGTAATGTAAATAATATATTTTGAAATAAACTTCTTGTTGGAAATGTGAATAAGGTTTAATTTTCAATATTGCGTTATGTCGTGATACAGAAAGAGTCTCCTGTTTTTTTATTTTGTAAGGTTGCAGGTCTGAAACTAGATAAAGTGGTTATGGAATATATTTATATATATTAACTGTTAAATATGATCTGTAAATTTTTATAAGAGACTATTGGAATGGGATGGGGCTTCTTAGCTATTTGTGTTCTCTGTAAATATTTGCCTCAAGATTTGTTATTTAAAACCAGCGAAGGGATTTTACTGGTTTTGTTACGTGACAAGCACTGCCTAGAGAATAGCATGCATATTTCAAAACTGGTTCTAGTTAAAATTTCGGAATAAGTTGAGACGGATATTAAAATTTTGGCTGTAAGCTCTGTTAATAGTTAACTTCGGTACACCACAAAGTGTAAAAATGACTAATTGTTCATTAACAATGAAATTATTTTATTTCAAGAATTTGAGGAATTTTTCAATGCATAATTACTCCTTCTTTTTAGAGAGAACATTTTTGTTCCAAATTCAAATTTTCTTCCTTTTCGACTCTGGATAACTAAACTTAAATCAGTGTTAATTGTTATGTGTTCAGTGTAATAGCTTAATTATTGGACTTATAGACAATGAAATATATTTTTTTAGTGTATTTTTTATTATTTCCAACAAATTAGCGTAACTTAAAAATATATTTTTTAATTTAACAATAGAAATATAAAAATTGTTGGCACTCTTGGCAGATGTTAGAAGTGCTCTCTACAAATATCCTTGTTGCAGTGGCTGTATTTGTATTTTGTATTGATGTATTTTTATATTGATTGAAGTAAATTTCAAAAAGTAACGGGTATGCAGCTATGCTCATCACCTTCAGATAACTCATTTTACTAGTTATGAAGGTACTGTGAGTTCAAGGGGAACATCTCAAATTAGCAAAACTAGCTGGCTGGCTGTTGTATTAGATGGTTGTTATCTAAGGTTATGTGAAGGACAGAAGACTTTTACTTTTTACTAATTTTAAATTCTTTCTTGCAGGAAATCAGAATCAATAATCAGAAATTATGTCTACTGTGTGTAACCCTGTTGAGTGCTTGAGAAAGCAGGTTAAAGAGCTGAATGATGGATGTATTAAAGCAGCACAGTCCTATTTTTCACCTTGGAAATCCAAAAGTGATCATGAATCTGTTGCCTCAAATTTTAAAGTTTGCTGTTCTACCCAAGAACTCGATAAGCAGAAAAATGCTTCTGTTCAATCTAGTAATTTAAAGAAATATTGCTTATCAAATTTTGATATAAATGCTTTGAGTCCCAATTCTTGGTGAATGTAAAATTAACCTTCTGATGTGAATTTTTTCTACAGAGAAAGAAGAGATATTGTAACATATTCTGCTATTCTTTTTGCTGTGTGAATTAGACCTAAATATGTATTAAACTATTTTGTATTTAAAATTTTGGAAGCTAAAATTTCTGTTTTAAATAGGCTTATGAATCCTTAAAGAAGTTATGCTAATTTGTGTTTTGTTAACTTATTTTCTCTTTGCTGTTAAATGTAATAAAAAAAAATAGAACATAATTGAGGAAATTTTATTAACATGTACTATTCAACAGAGCTGGTTATTTTTCATTGTTTAATTTTTTCTCAGCGTTGTTACCTCAAAATTGGCATATTTTCTGAATATTGCATATATATTTGGCATTATTAAACCATAGCGTATATTTATTTCACTTAATTTGACAATTTTATTATCATTTGTGATATGTTTTAAATGCACAATTATTGTAATATGTGTTTGTCATTTTTGTATCAGTTATTTGTTTTCAATTGACCTTTCTTCATTGGAAAGTATGTTTTTGATTTTTAGATATTTAAAACTGCAATATAAAAATACATTCGACATTTATGTCCATTTTCATTAGAGTAGAAATAAATTTTAAACAGAATATATGATTTTTTTCTATCCAATAATTTGGTCAGGATTTATCATTCACTGGATTAAAAAAAATTTTAGTTGTAAAACTTACCATTAAAGTATTAACATTTTTGACTTAAGACTTGTGACCAAGAAGTTGCAATTTTATAAGTCGTTGAATGAGATTTTCATGGTTATTCTAAGATTCAATATTTTGACTGAAGTGAATGTTTATTGATAACCTGATAGTATTTATCTGCTGTATCCTTATGTTTTTATTTCAATGTTACAAAAGCAGTTTGTATATATTTACAAGTTAAACACAGTTAAAGTCATAAAACAATTTGTGAGTTAATTTCTTAAACTTTAAAAGTTAACTTATTGATAGACTTGCTGTTCTTATTGGTAAGGTAAAAATAATTAAAATTTCAACTCAAATTAAAATTGTTATATTCTTTACGAAAATCACTTACTTTCAAAACACAATAAGTATGCAATTAGATGTTTAAAATGCAAATTATGATTTTTATAATTTATGAAAAATATTTTCATTTTATGTAAATCCTGTTTTTTCCAAACTTACATAAAGGAAATCTGTTATTGTATGTTGTAATTAATGTTTTTAGATTAAGAAAATTGTATATGATATGCATTAATTAATTATGTTATAAACTTAAATCATTGTCTTTCATTGTGCAACTTTTTATTAGAAATCTCATTGTTTTTGAAAAGTTTATTTTTTCTTTTGTATTTAGACTTACCTAATTAGCTCTTTCATTTTTTTTCTATCCTTGTTCAATAAACTTGATAATTTTTATTTGTTTTGACTTTTAATCCTTTATTATTTTTTTAATTTTTGTGTAGCAGCGTCTAATTTCAATCTGTTTTAGTCATCTAAATGCAATTTTGACATAATTGAAATGAATAGTTAGAGTGAATTAAGTTTTTTCAGAATATTCTGTGATCAAAAATAGAATTATCACCCTGAGTAACTTGCGTTCTAATGATCTGGGTTCTGTCTACTAAAATCCAGTACTTACTGGTTCAAGGGTTTAACTTCACATTTGCTGTTGCTAACATTGGTGTAGCATTAATGGGGGAGGTGACTGTCCCCTCAAATCTTTTATTTTAAATGAAAAGCTAATAATTTTAGATAGTTTATCAATATTTGAACAAAGTTCGTTTAGCACTTTTCTGTAGGTGGTACTTTTCAAAACCATTTAGAGATTTTTAAAAATTATTAATGATTTCAACAATAGTTTATTACAGTGGCTGCTAATTATTTAGTTTCATTTATGCTCTTGAATTTTTTGAATTATGGGCATTTTCTATTAACATAGTGAAATAATTATTACATATATTTTCTTTTTGTAACTGTTGAAAGCTGTTAGAATTGTCCGACTTTATTGTCTTATAGCCTTAAACTTCTTCCAGCTTGTTATTTATATTCTGAATTGCCCCAAGTATAATCTAATTTATTCATATTACTCTTATTGTTTAAATATACACTTATAATCCGGGCAGTGTTGAATTTTTATATCCATTAAAATAAGATTGTACAATTCCCTAAAAAAAGGCCCACACTGCGTTATTTTTTATCTAATGATCGGATCTTCACGTTCTAGGACTCACTCTTAATATTTTGAGGGAGTTACCTAAATTAATGCATTGTTGTGAGTTACGAAATCAGACACAACATTTTTAACGGATTTGGATTTCTGACCCCCAGAATATAAGGGTTGGCTGCAGTCTTGAAAATAGGACCCTTTAGCTTAAACCCCTTAATGTTAATTTTACTTTTTGCATATTTTGCCATACCTCCAAAGCCCTCTTTTTAAGCGAATGGAAACATTTTTCTCACAATTATAAAATTTATCCTAAAATAATTAAATGCAAATAATTATTTTAGTTAGTTTTTTTTATTTAGTATTAGTTTGATAAGTTTTGAACTGATGGTTTACATGCCGAAACAGAAAGTTCAAGCGAAATCGGTTGAATAGTTCCTCTGAAATCGAATTTTAAATAGACAACTTTAAAATTTGATTTCTGGGAAACTATTCAACCATTTTCACTCAAAAAAAATTTTTTTTTCAATTCGCCTAAAAAGTTCTCCAGATATGGTGAAATTCGCAAAGTAAAATTAACATTAATTTGTCTTCCTGATCAAACTATGGGAATTATATTTCCCAGACTGCGGTTACCCCTTTATATTTTGGGGGTCAGAATTACGAATCCGTCTCCATGTCCTTTTTTTCTTTCTGTATTTAAGTCCTGTGTTAAATACAGAAAATAACTCTTAAAATTAGTTGCTTACAAAATTTTCTTATCTCTAGAACTACTGGTATAAAAAAGTGGTTGTAGAATAAACAAAAAAATTGTTTAATCAGGGTTATGGTCCCCTCTTACAGAAATATACAGGTCTTGCTGCGTGATTTCATACTTGAAATGGGGCAGTTAATCATTTCCTGTGGCTATTTCATGCCTTCCGATTCCATCCAATGAGTGTTACGTACGTTCATGCTTGCGTATTACAATTGTTGAATGGTAATTTGTATTGTATCACTGTATGTACAAATCAATTTCATTCAAAACGATCTGTAGTTCTAGAGATAATCGACCAAGTCTGCAAGTTCTCTTTATTTCTTACACCAGTGTATATTAATTACAGCCTGGTTAAATTAACTTTTAAATAATTTTGAGCACATTATTATCTGAATTGTGAGAAATTGATTACTTTTTAACGCAATGCAAATAATGTGCATCTAAATGAATTTTGTTTGGTTTACTAAATGGAAACTTTTAAACGTTGTATGTACAGTGCGCAAAAAATAAACGGACCACCCTGATAATTTTTCGATCTAATTATAGGAACTTCACATTCTAGTAGGACTCAAACAGTATTGGCGATCGAAATGGGCTGCAGGTTGCGTAGAGCAGAACTCTCTACCTATGGCAACACTTCACATGCTTTCCCCATTAGAGTGTAGAGAGTCATAGAGGTAGGAAGTACGGAAGTCTCTTGATTTTCATATACATTAAAATCTTTTAAGTTGGAAAACTACATTAAACGTAGTTCTAAAAAAAAGCATTACGGAAATTTAAAAAAATATTTTTATTGCTTTTCCATGATGCTTTTCTTTCGAATTATGTTTAATGTAGTTTTCAGTTTTTCTAACTAACGTTTTTCTTACCTCTATGACTCTCCCAGGGACTAATATAGGGGATAAGGACATTTAACTTTTCCCGGGGGGTTTTAGAAAATCAACACGCTTTTGACAGGCCGGTTTTACGAACAAAAAGTGGCGTTCGCGTCGTCCTAGGGATTATTTTCTGACATCCCCGCCGTACCTTAGCATTGCGCGTAATCAGTGTTGATCATTAAAAAGCAATTTAATTTAAATTCTAAAATTTTTTCATTTCCGTAAACCAGTATATTATTTTGTATATTGCTTAAAGATGTCTATTCATTACTCATAATTTATTTGTTTGTTTATTGAAGTTTTAAAACCAGAGATCATTCAGATTACGAGCAATTATATACTATAGTTTCGGTTTTCAGAACTTGGGTTAATTAAAACCGAAGGAGGGATATTTGCTTATTCAACCATAGTTATTAGTTTGAAGCTTCTGGTTCCATTATAACTGAAGTATAGATGCTTATATTAGCATTTTTTAATATTTAAAAATATGATTTAACAGAACGAGTTTAAAACTAAAATCCTTTGAACTTTATAAGTTCACTATTATTGTTTTAAATCGTTATAATTAAAAATGCACATTGATGACACATTTTTTTCAACAAAATATAAGTTATGTAACCGTAAATTTGTTAAATTTTCCGATGAGAATTAAAAATAAAAATCTTTTTCATGAAAATAATTATTCGTAGCATTTATTATGAATTCGATTGTATTATCCATTAATTCCCGATCTTTATTAATACCTTTGCACAAATAATTATTCAAATTATTATAATATATGTATATCAGTATCAAAATCTCTCAATTCATTACTTAATGTCAGCGTAAGACTATCTGTCTTGCTAATTAATTGCCCACAATCAAATGCTCTTCATTTTGTTTTGATTTAACAAGCAATAAAGATAAAATAACTCATAATTTATGTAAATATTTAAACATTACTACCTTTATGAATGTTTTTTTTTTTAAGAAAACAATCATATTTTGCGTTGCACGTAAAGGGAAACCATGAAAATATCATTCAGATTGCTTGACGCTTAAGGAGTTCCAGTGAAATGCTCAGTAATAGTAATGAATTTTTTTTATATAATAAATCATTTTTTTAGCGTCTTTGACAGACAGTCAATTATTTCGGTGAATATAGCGAGATGCTCTTCATATTTTTTGTAATTTTTAACTCATTCCAAAAATCAAAGTAACGTGCAATTTAAATATCGGAGTAAAACAATGTTTATAAAAGTTATAAAAATAATTTATTTTAACCAAGATTAAGTTGAAATTAAAGTAATAAAATTTTGCGTTACACGCAAAGGAAAACCTAGAAAATGTTTTTCAGATTGCTTGGCGGTAATAGGATTTCAACTAAATGTTCATCTTTATCTCAATGAAATTATTTTTTTATAAGCAGCCATTTTTTATTATTAATCAGGCCTAGCCGTTGTGGTTCAGAAGATCAGGAGTCTCCTTGAAGTCAGGCTAACCGTGGGATGTTTTCCTCAAAATGTAACGTAAATGCGGGCTAGTTCCATCAAGAAGTCCAATATGGAGGCAAATTTCTCTCAATACTTTATAAAGGACTCTCCCTGTCTTTTGGATATGATTTAAAATTGAATTTACGGAGTTAAACATGAGTAGGCGTAAGCACATAATTAGGTCGGCTGTTCGACGACGGTTATAAAATTATGAAATAGATAAGGTATCAACTTGCTGAATATAAACGAAAAGCTCTTCTTTTTAACTCAACCAGTAAAACAAAATAAGCCACAATTTAAGTATCGAATTACAATTATATACTTATGAAAGTTATAAAAATAACCTATTTTAAATAAAATTAAATTATCAAATTTTGCGTTACATGCTAAAGAAAACTACAAATGCGTTTTTCAGATTGTTTTTATCGGTAATAGGTATTCCAGCTAAATGTTCATTATCTAAAAGAAGTTATTTTTAAATAATCAATAATTTTTTTTCTTCCCATCCTTGATAGATGGCTTAACATCTTTGTGAATATAAGGAAACGTCCTTATTATTTTTAATTCAACCCAGAAATCAAAATTACTCATAAGTTACTTGGAGTACAATCATAATCATTAAAGTTATGAAAATAACTTATTTCAATTAAGACTAAATAGAAATAATCAAATTTTGCGTTACATGCAAGGAAAAACCGCAAAAAAGTCTTTTAGATTGCTGAACGGTAATAGGATTCTAGCTAAATGTTCATTATCGCAATGAATTATTTTTTCAACAATAAATTTTTTTTTTATCTTCTTTGACGGACAATTTGTCATCTTAGTGGATGTTGTGAAACACTTTTCTTATATTTTTTACTTTTAACACGACCCAGAAATCAAAGTAACTTGCAATTTAAATATCAGAGGAAAATCATGCTTATAAAAGCTTTTGTAATAACCTATATATTATTTAAAATTTAGACAAATCAAATGTTGCGTTAAATGCCAAGGAAAACAACGAAAAAGTCTTTTAGATAACTGAACAATAATAACATTACAGTTCATTATCGCAATGAATTGTTTTTTTAACCATTAATATTTTTTTATCATCCTTGACAGACAATTTGTCATCTTAGCAAATGTTGTGAAACACTTTCTTATATTTTTAACTTTTATCACGACCCAGATATCAAAGTACCTTGTAATTGAAATAGAGGAGTAAAATCATATTTTGAAAAACTTTTTGAATGAAAATAATTAGAATTTCCATTACACACAAATGAAAACCAAGAAAACGTTTTACTAGCAAACTAATTGTACGCTAACAGGCAATAATGAGACTATATCTCAGCAATTATTATCATTTTCCTATTTCTTGTGCTTTATATGAAATTTAATGTTTTGACTAGCTTGGAATGTTTACTAAAATGTTCTTTATTTTATTTATTTATTTATTTTTTGTAAGTACATAAATTGTGTGTTTTATTTTATTTCAAATATTTGAATTTCAGAATGATATAAAGAATTAAATTTTAAGAACATATTAGTTTTTTTTTTTTTTTTTTAAACTTTAAAATTCACGAGTTATAAATCTTTAAAAAAATCTGGGAAAAAAAAATGCGTCATAAAATTTGCGAATTTCAGATTTTTCTGGCAAAGAGACTGAATGTTATCAATTATTATTAATCATTACAACTTATAAAAGTCAAATAAAAAAAGAACAAATTATGTACAGCTACAATAAACAAAAACCGCAGTTCACTAGAGGGCGTGGATATAGAGTACAAACTAGTTACTAGACCAGAGATGTCAACGTTCACCGTGACGTCCGTTTGGTCGAGTGATTGATCTTTCTGCCTTTATATCTATGGACTCTCCACACGCTAATGTGGACAGCATGCAAAGTGTTGCCATGGGTAGAGAGTTCTGTTCTACGCCACCTGCAGCCCATTTCGATCGAAATTCTTTGATCGATTGGAAATTCTTGAAGAAGGATCAGTCCCGCAGTGGACTGATCGTTAAGACACGGTTCCCAGCAGATCACCGAAGTCAAGCATCACTGGCTGCCGTCAGTGTGCGGGTGGGTGACCACTTGGATTAGGCTGCGTAGGGACCGAGGGTGAGCGGTATTGGTCCTCGTTGAACTGTGCTACCGTAAAGTGCTCGACTTCGCGCGCAGGTCGTCGGGCTACCGAAGCGGGGATGCCATCCCCTCCGCAGAGGATCAAAATTGTGATAGCATGTCTTCGGTTCATCCTCCGGGATGTATCCCTGACCGTCGCCAATAGCCCATTGTGCAGCTCTAGTGCGACGTAAATGAACAAATCAATCAATCAATGAAGAAGGATCAAAGATAAAAATAAATAAATATTTTATTTCAGACTGCGTAGTTGTGGAAAGGAAGGAATAATTTATCCCATACCCTTTCAGAAAAAACTCCCTCCTCTGTGAACTTCGAGAAAGAGGTCATGACTCCTAGCTAAGCGAGAACGATTAAAGGATAAAAAAAAAGCCATTGACCACTTTCTTATGACTATCGATAGTTCAAAACTTGGTACGATGACTGGGATTCCCTTCACCGCTTACTTCGGACATCGGGGGTTGCGAGTTTAGGATTTTGTTTAACTATTAGACTGTGGATTCCGATGAATAGTGACTTCGCAGTCCACGTTTGAAGGCTGTGAGCTTCTTAGATATCCAGGGCAGTAAAAATATGACAAAATAACGGTACATCTCTATTGTGAACGCCATCTGTGATTAGAATTCCTCCACGGTTAATTTAGTAATTGAAGTTATTTAAAGTTAACTGTATTATTAAACGGAAAAGTTAAGCTGCTGCTTACCTACATCCGGTTTCGGAACAGTTTACTGACTCTGACAAGTTGTATTGTTGTTGTTCTTAGAAACCATTCAAGAAGCATCGTTGAAGTTAAATGTCTGATGTAAGTTTGAATGATGATTGGAATAAAACGAATGTGTTACTTTATTTATTTTTTGTCATTTAAATAAATTTTTTGGGCTTTTTTAGCAAAATTAATTTATTAATGTAGTCCTTTATTTTCGTCGAAAAGAGGGAATCATGTGTTTCATATTTTAACTTTCGATATGAATCATGCAATTACTAAGCTATTTCTTTTAATACAACTTACAAGTTAAATAATTTATTTAGTGAATTTCCAGATTGCTTAATTTAATTTTTGATTGTCATTATGTTTAGTTTAATCAGTTTCTGTATTACCCCCCGAATTTCCTTGCATCTTACGAAATTTATAATAAATAATAGAATTAGTTGTGCATCTTGTTGATCGAAATAATTTTAATTTTAGTTCGATATTTTAATGCTTCTATATGTAAGGAAGTTGGTTAAAATTATATTCATCAAATGTCAACATTTGAGGAATATGAACGTTCTTTATTGTGCCTACTTGTAAAATTTTTCTTACACAATTTTATTTTTGCATGTAAACAATAGAAACAATTTATATTAAAAAGTTAAATATGTTGGAATTTTGAAGTGCCAAATACAATTAAAACCAATTTCTACTATAACAGATATTTTTCATTTTTTTTCTTTCAAAAATCAATATTTTTATCAATTCTGATATTTTGAATCTAAACTTTTTTCAAAAAGTAAACCTGACATTTCTAAATTTTCATTTTTTAAATTAATTGTGTCAATTATTTAATATATTTATCTGAATTTCCCATACGTTATAGATATTCACCACTCTCAATATAAATTATAATCTTTTTTAAATATGAGGTAAAATTTCTATATAATTCGGATCACAAATTTATATCCCCCCTTAATTCCTAATGCAGAGATTATGGGGTTAAATATTGTATTTATTTCATTAAATTAGAATTTAGGCAGTAAGTTTTGGTCCTGAATAAAAAAAGTTAATAACCGTCCCCAAATCCGTTCTTTCTGGCTTGCCAATCTTGATGATCAATTAAGCTATGTTTGATTTCATTTTCTAATCAATGAAGCATTAATTCATTCTAATATTGAAGCATAATGAATGAAACTTTAGTAATAAAAAATGATACAATTATAAGCACATGAAATATAATTGCATGTATCCTACATGTATTACTCACATATTTAGCATGTATCCTACGAAATATAAACACATGAAAACTCATATATTAATCATGTATCTTATTTCTTTTCTTTAAAATGGTTCTCGGGATTACACAATTTTTTTTGAAAAAATCATCAATGTTTGATTCATCACAGTAATCAATTTATTTAAGTATAAAATCAACTCTACAACCATTTTTATTCCTTTCACATATTATAAATGTACTTCTCATTTCAATTATAAACAATACAACATTCTTATGATTAATTTAAAACAAAGTACCTTTAAAATTGATGGCCACAAGCTGACAGACAAAGATTCTAAACAGTGCTTCGAAAGTAATTTGAACATTCCTTACAATCTGAGTTAAAGTAGTCTGAATTTTCCTGCAATATTGATTACTTTACCTTAAAAAAAACGGTGTAATGAATTCTGGGCAATTGCACTTTCACTTAAAAAAAAGAAAAGAAAATTCAACATTAAAGATTTTGTGGATGCTTCAAAATAATTATGAAAATTCATTAGTAATCAAATCAACCAAACAATTCATTATTCTTAAAAAAAGTTAATTGAAATTTGGTCAAAGTTATACCAGACTTAACAAAAGAAAAAAAATCACTTTGATCTTCCCACTCTTGTGATCGTAAGTCATGTTTGTCTGTGTGAACACAAGTTCAGTTCAAACACCAAATTGGATGCTATTATTGTTGTTGTTCATAAAACAATTTTTCGCTAAAAAATCGGTGCAGACTGTTTAAAAATCACAGCTTTAAAACTTGATAAAAGTCATAACAATTTTTAAATCAGTTTCATGTTAGTACTATATGAATTTTTCTCCAAAAATTCTCCTAATTCTAATTATGAAAATTAAGTTTTTAAATTTTCTTTTTCTATTTTTTTCTTTAAAAAAAATATACTAACTGATCAATATGTACCACGTTTTAAGTGTATATAATAAATGAGATAATGTATATATTAATGTTTGTCTTAATGTTAATAAACTTGAAAAAAATTTCCCCATAAATTTTTTAAGCATGTTTTTTATTCATATGTTCTTTTTGTTTTTAATAATTTTTGTTGTCAATGAAGTATTTTGTGTGTAAACAACTATTAAGTTAACTTTTTAAAATTCTAATTTCGTCTAAGTAAAAAAGCAGTTTAAATATTACATAAGCACCTAACGGAAGCGAGGTTTTGGGATGCCTATTTTTTTCGATTTTGGATTTACTATATGGTGTGAGCAATGCTTATGTAAGTCATTAAAATCTCCATTTTCGAAATTTTTAAAGCAAAACAAAAATTATATGTGGGAAATTTTTGAATTTGGAGTGAAAGTTGAATTTAGGGAAAGAAAAAAAAAGGAAAATAATTTCTTTGAAGAATTTCAGAGTTAAAAATTCTTGACTACAAAAGGAAAACACAAAGGATTCCTAAACTTCTTTACATTTTATAAAGGAATTTTTTTTTTTTTTATATTGTGCAATGATCCATCTTTCATTTGAATTTAATCTTAAAATTAGATTATTCGGGTGACCCGGGATAATTCACGATCACTCTGTTTCTGGGGTTGAGGTTTATTTTTTAAAAATATTATATTTTCTTAAATTTGAGAAATGGACAAGAATGCTTGTACACTTTACTAAAGTATAACTACATTTACTTAATAATAGTTTTTTGTTTAATCTAACACGATAAGTATCTTTTAAAATGCTTTCTGTATTTTCCATTTCAAAGATAGGTTTCAAAATGTGCACATTTCTGCAAAGATAATTCTTAAGAAATATTTTGAGTTACTTTCTTTTTCTTTGATATCAAAATAGTGTAAGCTTTTGTTTAATTGTTTCACATCTACTGTAAATATTATAATTGATTATAGGAAACTATATCAAATCTTGCCTCCTACAGATGGGGTAATTATTGATCACTGGGGTAATTTCTGATCATTGTTATTTCTTCTTATAAATAGTATAAAAAATAGCTAATAAATAGTTAATTGTCTTTTCTTAAATAACAGTTCATATTTATTAAGTGGAACAACTATAAAATATATTTTAACTATAATCACAAAATTTGTTTTTAACTGTATACAAGACAAATGTGTTCTGATATGCACCATTTCTAGCTTGTCTTACCTTGCTTCTATCTTAAATTTATGTGTGTACATTGTTAGAATAATTTTTAAGTTGATAAATTAACCTAATATAAATATGGTGAGAAATTATAAGCTTAAAAAGGATACTAAGCTTCTAGAAAGCAAAAATAGTGAATTTCTTTTAATGATTGAAAATGAAAATTTCAGTGTGAGAGCTGCTGCCAGAGCTGAAGTGTTAATCTTTATTCCTGATTTTAAATAAACAGTTTTAATAGCTGCTTAAACATATCTTTTTGGTTTATTTGTTTGATCTTAATGTCTTATTTGTTAATTACCATTGTATAATTATTTTTAAACAGTCCATTTACTATAGAAACTGGTGCTCAGTAATTACCCCAGAAATGATCAAGAGAAAGAGTAATTCCTGATCACTAAAAATTTAAAATCTTTTAAATTCCAAATAGATTTTGAAACAAAAGAAGGTAGCATAGGACTCATCTCATATAGCCTTAAACTTCCAGTAAATATTAAAATTCTATCTTGAATAGTTTTTTCACAAAATAGATGTTTGCATTTTTTGATCAGGAATTAACCCAGGTCACCCTACAGTAAATATCAAAATTGAAGCAAAAACCTAGATGGTGTATAACTTTCATAAGTGAGCAAAGGAATGGTTAGCAATTTGCTTATTTTTGTGGACTAGGGGGTAGGAGTTCCAAAATTACTTAAAATATGCTTACATAATATTTGAAGGACCACTAATAACATTATAGTGAAGCCCTGAATGTGATCGCTATGCAGCATTAATTTGAGATTGCTACTTCTAGACAAATAAATAATAAACAGCTGACAAATTACAATTACTTAAAATGGAAATCCTGCTTGAAAACTTTTTTGTTTTGCTTAAATTATTAAAAAAAAAAAAAAATTAGAGTTTTAGAACATGAAAAATAACATTGATATGTTTTTCTTAATAAAAAATATAGTCAGACTTATACGAAATCTTCATTTTAAAAATTAAATAATAAATGACAAGAAAGAAATTTATTTAAAAGATAGTTTTGCACACAGCTTTAATTCATAGTGATGCCTAACGAGATGTATCCTATCAGTATTCTATGAGCCAGGCTTTTTTTTCTTCTGTAGTTTTGGATTGTAAATTTTAGCTGACTCACTGTGATGTTACGCTTCTTATATATAAATTTAATCAATTTAATTTCTTTTATGTATAAAAATACTGCTTTCGAAGATCATATAAATTTTGTATTTCAACAAGTAATGTTGATAAATATTTTTATAATCCATCTATTTATTTTTAGGGTTGACAAACTTCAATAACAATGGTTGTGGCAGATTCCATGGAAAACAAGAGAGGTATGAATTTTACAAATGGAGTTTTTACTAATTAGTTTTGTATTAATTGCTATTCATCATACTTAGGAAATAAGTTCCATTTTTTTATTGAGCTATTCTGTTGCTATTTTATTATGATGTAGTAATTTTTAAATATAATTTTGCTAAAATTTGAGAGTTTATGTATTAATATATTTATTTTTTAAATTTTATTTAAGGTAAAGATGAGTTCCCTAGAGTTTGGGTTCCTGATCCAGTTGATGGCTATTGTTTAGGGAATATTGTAGACATTTTGGCTGATACAGTTTCAGTACAGCTTTTAAAATCTAATCAGGTAAGTGTACTGAATAATATTTTGTGTTAAAATCTTGATCGAATGACTTGGCTTTAGCTTATAAAATGTGCATAAAAATCCTAACATTTATGACTGTTTTGTAAAGAAGGCAAGAGGTAAAATTAATGGTGAATTTTATTTTTTTACTGTCACAGGGTGCATAGCATTTTTAAAAAGGGCTTAAAAAAGCTTATTTTTGTTTTTCTTTTTTTAAAAGCCCTTAAAGGTGCTTTTTTTTATTCGGGGTTTGTAAAACGTGCTTAATTTTCTATCTTTTAAAAAGATTTTTTTTCTTTGCCGTTTCGATTGTCATTCTAAATTACAAAAACTGCATGTTTTTCACAATTTTCTTTGCAATATTTATCTTAGTAACTTTGTCATGATTATGTAAAGTTTTTGAAAATGTTTTTAAATTTTATTGATTTTATGTTTATAAATTAAGAACTTTAAATGATAGAAAAAAATACTTTTTATTACTGCACAGATCCTAATTATGATTATTTTTTGGAAACTGATTAAAAATATTTTTTGAGTACTAAAAAGGTTCATATTTTTTGTTGAAAAATCTGGCTATGCAGCCTGTATCAGATTACCATACTTTAAGTTGATTTTTTTACAATTTTAATATTGACAACTATAACATCAAGTTTTGAACGATAACATTTGGGTCTGTTTGAAGATATTATCTTGATTTTTTTGTGACTCTGTTTCTCCTTATATTTGTTAAGCTCGCCAAGTCGGCTGATGATTTAAATTATGATTAAATGTTTATTTCTGGATCAATTTGAAGGCAATTTTTGTGGTTAATGTTGGGAATTTACTTTAGTTTGTTGCATAATGTTTTATTTTATTTTTAGATTCGTCAGGAGCTGTATGAGAGTACTCTAGCTGCTGAAGAAATTGAAAATAAGGATGTTGATGATAATTGTATGTATATATTTTCCATACATTTATCTTATAATGAAGCTAATTTATAGAACTTTTTTTCTTCTATTGAACTCTTATTTTTATAGTATTTGTTTCAAATAATAGGTTTCTTTTACTTTATAACAGCTGAACTCTGAATTGCTTAATATTGTTTTAGATTTGTCAATTTCAAATTCATTTTACATGCGAACCAATTTCATTCTTTTCCCCATGTAAATGCCAGGACTTTACACTTAATAACATTTGAGGATTTATTATTCTTATTAGGAGCATAACAAATTGTAAATTATACTGCAATATTGGTAATGTTTAACAATATTATTGTAGAATGTATGTTTTTATCGATATGACGAGTATTGGTGTTTTATCACGGCAGTATATTTCATTATCAAGAATTTAACTAGTAATTCCAATGAGCTCAGAAACTTTGTATTTGACTCTGTTACATATAATTTCCTTCTGTTTGCTCTTTGATCATTTTTCATACAAATCTTAAATTTTTGGAGCCAATTCAAGTAGTATTAAAAATATGTAACATGAGCTGGTTAATGTAGTCTTACTGAGACCTAAAGCAATCATTATTTTCTCCACTGAAATGAATTTATAAAAAGTACTTAATTATATTGTTAATATAATCATGTAAACAGCCTTTTCTGAGCAGTAATAGAAGAGTAAAGTATTTTTTCTTTAATAAAAATTTCTATTATTAAAACAAAATAAACATTTATTAATGATTTAAAAAAGTATTTCAAACAAAAAAATCAGTTGTTTAATAAAAAGAAACTATATGTGTTAACATTAATACTTTTGCATAACATGATACAGATAGTTGAATACCACACGGTTTTGTTTGAATTTAAAAATATTCTATGCAGCCCTCTTTTAATAAAATATTAAATATAGGCTTGTATAGACGAATCAAAAGCTTTCAAGCAAAATCTTTTGATTCGTCTAAGCTATATGCTAGCTCTTATGCTTGAAGCTGTCTGCTTTTACCTTAGTTTAAGAAATAAATTCCAAAACATCTTACAGCTTTTGGCATTCTAAAATCAAAAAACATTTTAAACATAAAGATAGAATTATTGCTCAGCTGCTAGAATAAATGTTTTAGACACCAAACTCGTACGCTAGTGGTTACTATGATTATAAAAATGTCACTTTTTTAAGACAACACTAATTGAAAACTTTGTAGTAGGCAAACCTCCAAGGGAATCAATATGGACTTTTTTTACGTGTTGATCAGCAAAAGCATGAAGAAGGAAATAAACATTAAAATGGCTATTATCCGAATCTTTAAAGCAGTATAAAAAAATATTGAACAAGTAATATGTATGAACTTCCCGATTGAAAGACATTCATTGAGTTCACCAATGTCTTCCCATTATAAATAGGTTATTTCTGGATATGTGGATAACCTCAAAACAATTTTCCTGGTGGCAGTTCCTTCTTTTTGCAGTAAAAACACTTAAGTTGTAAAACTACATGACAGATTAAATGAAATAAAACTTTTCTTTTTGAGGTTTATTATTTTTTTTTAAGGAGAAAGTTTACTAAATGGCTTAGGGATAGCAGCTACTTACATGTTAATTGAATTTTAATCATGGTATTTTCTTATTCATTATTGTGAGAATTAGAGAAGTAATAATATAAGTAAGATAATTTGTTGTTGAAAGATAAAGAATAGTTCTGTAAAAAAATTTTTGTGTATCAAACTAATACACAATTACAGTTGTGACTAAGGTAATTAAATTTATTTGGGATTACAACTTTTTAAAAATTAAGCTTTATTAATTTTCATCAACTGGAATAAATAACTGATAGAAAAATTGTTTTAATTTTTTTGTTGTTTTGATATTATCTTAAAAATTATACATTGTATGAAACATTTTGTTACCTGCATATTATTTAATGTTTTACTTCAAAATAAATGTTTTTTTTTTTCTCCATTTCTACAGGCAGTCTCATGTATTTAAATGAAGCAACTCTGCTTAACAACATAAGACTTCGATATGAAAAAGATAAAATTTATGTAAGTAAATTATTTGTCAATAGTTAACATTTAAATTCTTAAGTAACAATTAGCACCTCTCCCAAGAATGGAATACATCTACTTTTACATAAATATGTTTTTCTTAATAAAATTATTAAAAAGTTAATTGTTTTGGCAGCCATTAAAGTTACTTATTAGATAGATGAAGAGTACAGTTTTGGATTACTCTTCATTATTTGGTTATAACAAGTACCCGTTCTTGTATTTATAAAATTGAAAGTAATACAGAAAAGAGTTGGAAGTGCACAATGAATTTAATATTATAAACAGTCATTTCAGGGCTATTATACTTAGTACATTAGCACATCACTTCATTTAGCACAAGAATTTCACTTTTTTTCCAAGATATATATTGCAGCTGTTTTTTTAATTTTTTTTATTTTTTATCATTGTCTGCTTTGGCACAGAGGAAGTTATTTTAGTTTTGGAGCAATTATATGTTCTAATTGTTTCTATTTGTGTTTCTTAACTTTTCTTTTTATTTATTTTAAGATAGAAATAAACCTTATGTATTTCAATTTTTTTTTCTCACAAGTTTCTTTTGTATTTCTCTAACTTACTGTTTTTAGTGTTCTCAACACCAATAGTAATACGTAAGCACGAAAGGGGGTTGAAATTTGCTTATTTATGACAAGGAGGGAGGAAAGTAAAAAATTGCCAAAAATATGCTTAAGTAATATTTTACCGACTTCTGATTAAATTTTTTATTTGAATAGTGTGTCCTCTATTGCTAACATCTTGATATGAGTTAGAAGAGAGCATTAAAAAAACTAAGTGCAATATCAGAATAATGCTGTATATATTGTTATCATTTGGCTCATGTTTTTATGTAACTAGTGTAGATAATGCTGCAAAAATGTTTTCTCTTGCCAAATTAAATGATACATTTATTCTCAGATTTTTTTTTGTAGGTTATCACAATTAATTTGGTATTTCCTTTTTCTTAGACTTATGTTGCCAACATTCTTATTGCTGTTAACCCATATTTTGAGATCAAAAATTTGTATTCTTCTAATACTATTGCACAATATGAAGGGAAAAGTTTGGGAGTACTTCCACCTCATGTATTTGCTATAGGTAAGATTCATTTTTATGAATTTTTAAAGATTTTGTGCCTTGAAAAATTTAAAATAATCATAAAAATCCCTTTTAAGATCATGTAAACTATTCTCTAGAGATAGCTGTAGTTATTGACCTAAATTTAAAACAAGGCAATGTTTTTGATGTCTTATTAATATATAACATCAAATAAAAATTCCAATAAGGCAATTTTAAAAGTGTTTAAACTTATATTGGTTATAAACTTTTAGCTATTGTGTTTCTATGAAGAAAAAAATCTTACTGTTACATAGTTTTCTTTTCTTTATCTTAGACATTGTTATTTATCTAAGAATATATTAAATCTGAGTGAAGGTTTGAGAATGTGATAAATCTTTGATAAAGTTTCAAAACTCAAAACAATAGTCCATAGCTTTTTCTCTTTGACATTAACTAGAATAATCAAATTATAAATGTTCCTTGGGATATAATTATTATATGCATTATATGAAAGAGAATCTTATATTTTCACTTAGCTGACAATATATGCTTTTTTTTAAAGAGAATCTTATATATTTTCACTTAGCTGACAAAGCATTCCGTGATATGCGTGCATTGAAATCAAGCCAGTCAATCATTGTCAGTGGGGAATCTGGAGCTGGCAAAACTGAGTCTACCAAGTATATCTTACATTATCTTTGTAAATCTTGGGGCTGCCATGCAGGACCAATTGAGCAAAGAATACTGGATGGTAAGAGTTTAAAATATTTAATTGATTATTAGTTATCAATTACATAATTTGTGTGGGATGTAATAAATGATAAAAATTTTTGAATTATTACAGCTAATCCAGTTTTGGAAGCATTTGGCAACGCCAAGACCATGAGGAACAATAACAGTTCTCGTTTTGGCAAATTTATTGAAATACATTTTAGTAGCAAGGTAAATTGCTTTTTACATTTAAATAAATGGAAAAAATAAGCTGTTGGCTTTGACTTTTTAATTAAATAAATACCTTTTTTTTAGTTTTCTGTTGTTGGTGGATTTATAAGTCATTACCTGTTGGAGAAAAGTAGAATTTGTTCTCAAAATGATGGCGAAAGAAATTATCACATCTTTTACCAGCTATGTGCTGGGGCCCCAGCTGAAATGAAGAAAAAATTGCAATTGTCTAGTCCTGATAAATTTCATGTAAGTTTTATTTATTTTTGAATACTATTTTTCTCTTATTAATCTTGTGAGAACAATTATTCATTTGTAGTTGTATTTTCTATTATAAGGAAAAACTAGAATTAACACAAGAATTATTGCAATTATTTATTTTAATTTTTTTCCAATATTTTGTTGCAAAAACATAATACCAGTATTATATGTGTTGTTGTGTGTAAACTTATTTTATTAACATTTTAAATTAAAATTGTGGTAAAGTATTTATTATTTTCAAATTCCATATCTGTTTGATTAAGCATCTTCAAAATATGTATACACCTTAATTTTTAGACTTTAATTTTCTTTTTGGAAAAGACGCTTGTAATTATGCAATAAATAATTCATTCTAGTTTTCAAATTCTTTGATAAAAAGAGCACTAATGAGAAAGACACAAAAAAATGCTCCTTTGTTTGGAGACAACCATTGTTCCATAGAATTACTACAGTATTTATACTACTTATTGCAATAAAATGGATATATCTTATTCATAAAAAGTTGATTACCTAATGATAAATATTCTTTTTATAATATTTTAAAATTACATTAATTTGTGACATTTTTGACTATTTGTGATAACGTTTCTTATTTGTCATTTGAAATTTATAACATTATTTTTACTTAATAAAATAAAAAATTCTTTTTTTTTAAGTATTTAAAAAAGAGCTGTACCCAGTATTTTACATCATCAGAAACTGAGAAGCTGTTGAATCAGGACTCTAAATCATGTGACCAGAAACAAAAGGGCTCTCTACACGACCCTATGCTGGATGATATTCTAAATTTCCGCACATTAGACAAAGCTCTAAATAATATGGGTAAGATTTTGATTTTTTTTTAAATTTTGGCTATTGTTTTTTTGAAAATTGTCACTATGCATTTTGTTGTAGAAATTTGCTAGTTTTCTTAGGAAAAAAATTGATTCATTAGAATTTCTTCTGACTTTTAATATAATTTATAACTCAATTTTGACAGGTTTGACAGATTCTGATCGGCTGAATATTTACACTGTGGTAGCATCAGTTTTACATCTAGGCAATGTTGCTTTTGAAGATAATCCAGATGACTGTAAAGGGGGATGTCGTTTAGCACCTAATGCTATTGAGAACTTGCGCATTGTTGGATCGCTGTTACAAGTTGATTCTGAATTTCTCAAGCAAAGTTTATTAAGTCGAGTGATGCAAACAAGTAAAGGAGGAGCAAAGGGAACTATTTATATGTAAGTTATCTATTTTTAATCTAATTATCTATTTTAATGTAAGTTATCTATTTTTAATTTAACTATCTATTTTAACGTAAGTTATCTACTTTTGCTATCTATTTTTAAAATTTATTATAAATTAAAGACATTAACTTTTTTATAACTTAAAGACATTAAAGATTTTGAGCATGTTTGGATAAAAAACATTTGATAGTTCCTTGACCATTATTTTTCACATTATCCCACTGACTAAAAACTTAAGCACTTAGTCCATCAAAATAGCTCTTTTGATCACAAATAAAATTTTTTGATTTTAAATATTCTTGTGCAACTTAGTGCTGTTTTTTCTGAAAGTTCACATTACATATGTAAAATTATGATTACCTAACAGAGTTAAAGTTATTTCTAAATCACAAGATCTCATATCCATTTTACTATAATGAATAACATAAAATGCACTTTCTTAATATTTTTTATTAACCCCTTTGTTTTGTTTGTGACTAACTTATTTCCATTTGCATGAGCTGTATGTTAAAATATAAATTTTTAATACATGCAAATAATTTTTTTTCCAGTTTAAACTGTAGTAGTCAATAGTTATTTATAATTTTATGGTTTTACTCATCTTATAAATGAAAGTTGTAATAATAGTTTTATTTTCTTAATTTTAATTAATTCAGTTTTTTTTGTACTCTAATGAACCTTTTATTCTCACTGCATGATATTTTAGTTATGATTTTATGCATGCATTTTTTAAAAACAATTTGCTGTAGGGTCCCACTGAAAGTTCATGAAGCTCAAAATGCTCGAGATGCTTTAGCTAAAGCACTGTATTCCAGATTGTTTGATTATATAGTTCACTGCATCAACAAAAGCATACCTTTCAGTTCATCTTCATATTATATTGGTGTTTTGGATATAGCTGGTTTTGGTAGGTAAAATTATGTTTTTAAATATATAATTTTGAGAACTATTACCATTACCCCATAAAGCATTTTTACTTTATGACATTTAAGTAAACAAGTAAAATTCTGTTTTTAAATTGTCCTAGTTTCTGATAGTTCTTCAAGAATTCAATAATTAAACTGCTTTTAATTAACCAAGGATGTCCAGGCTATTAAAGAGCTTAAACAGCCATGAATATTTCTGTGTAATTGGTTAAAGATTTTTCTTTATGCACTTAGTTTTATACAGCCATCAGTTTCTTGAATTCTCCTAAAGTCTAAATTAAATTTATATTGAGTGCTTAGATTGTTTTTATTCAGTTGATCTTTGTAACCCAGAAAAAAAAACTTCATTAACCACTCACAATTTTAAAATAACAAAGATTGTAAATTTAAAAAAAAAAAATTTATAAAGATGTGTTTAGTAAGATGTGTAAGTCTTTAAAACTGTACTTTTAAATTAAGTACAGTTCTACTGACTTTAAAAAATTTAAAATGTAATATCTATTTGTTTTTATATATATAAATAGATGTAAACTCAAGATTTGCAATGAAATCATTCACTACAGGTGGCAGTTAAATTATGGTTGTGCCAAAAAATTCACAGCATTTACCAAAAGCTATGAAAAAAGCTTAAATTTTTCTCGTTTATTCAAAGCATGGGGATTACAAAAGGTTATTTGATTTCAAAAAAGTCCTCTCGCATTTCACAAAGACTTCTCCTCAATTAAAAATACATTGCCCAAGGTCTACTGTTCATTGATATTCATTGTTTAATTTATTCCTTTATTTCTTTAACTGTGATGAGTTGTATATTTCTTGTTCTTGATGATTGTCTGGGTGAAAACATTTAAAGGATTCAAATATGGTAAATATGTGACAAATTTCCATGTGCATTTGTATTAGAAATATTGCGGTTTCACCACTCTAGGAGTGAGTACTGAATCTTACTGAGAAAACCCGTATTCAATATTAATAGTTTATAATGTTATGAATGTTTTGTTTTACAAGCTGTTATGAAAGCATAGTTGTGTAAATGACATTCTCACTTTGTACTAATGCATGGTAAATTAATTAATATATTAAATAAGTTTTGCTTTTCTCACATGCTCTTTTGCACAACTAAACTTGTAGTTTTTTATTTGTAGTTTAGAGTTTTTTTTTGTATACTATTATGCAAGAATGTTATAATTTTGGTATATTTATTTATAAAAAGTACAAATTTACATAGTGCAAATTCAAAAAGCTACACTTTTAAAGAGTTCACAGAAAACTCCATAAATTTATGGTTTTGTCCTTGGCATCTTATTATCTTAGTTTTTGATTAACAGTGTATTTATATTTTACTTAGTAAGTAGACATTTGAAACATGTGTTTTTTAAGAATCCTTTCTTATTATATTCTTGAATATTTAGCTTGAATTTCATGCACATACTTTACAAATCACTGATTAGTATCAACTTAGCTGATTTAAAGTAACTTTTTGTTTTCTATTAGGAGACTAATTCCACACTTTCTGTTTAACCTTTGCAATATTGTTTAGTTTTTGCTATGAATGAAATAATTTTCAAACGTTGAGGCCTGCTTAATAAAGATATTTTTGTTCCCAAGTCCTAAATTAATGTAACACAAACTTCTATTCTCCAAAACAATTTGTTTTGTCCACGAAATTGCATTGCTTAGCGCACACCAATGAACTAGCAACGTAGCAAAATTGAATCAAAATAACACACAACTCAGATCACTAATTTAATAAGTGAGCTTAGTCACATATTTATCAAAGGTATACCTATTTTTGATTCACACAGTCATTTTATGAATAATATTTAACAATCATTCCTTTCCAAATTTTATTTAGTTTTTTTCAAAGCGTTGATAAGTAACTATTAAAAATCAGAAAATAATTATTGAAAATCATTATGCATTAAGTAATGAACAATTTTATTAAGGCTTGTGCTGAATAATTTCTTATAATTGAAACAAAGCTAGAAGAATAATGTAGAAGGTTATAAATCAGCATCTAGGGAACCAATGCAATTAAACTCATTTGTGGCCATGTGTACTGTCGACTTCCCTGTGTAGCCTCATATGTTAAACATGTGTAAAGAGAAATTCAAAAGTAACATTAACAAACTGTCATAGTAGAATTTTTCAGAAAAGAATATTATGCATATTCTTTTGTTGCCATTTCTTGTTGCTTTGGCTGGATTCACAGTCATTTTTTTCATAGAGAAGACTGCCAGAGTTAAGGCGTATACTTACTCTAAAGAAATAACATATAATCCAAATTGAAAAAGAGTATACTTTGTGCTTTATATAATAAAGCTAAAAACATAATAAAAGCAAAAAATTATTTGTGTTTTATTCACCTTGTGTAATTTTATTCAAATAACATATTACTTATTTCTGTGTAGTTTAGCTTTTTACATAACTTTTTTTAAATGTTTTTTTTAGAGTACTTTCAAGTAAACAGCTTTGAACAGTTTTGCATTAACTACTGTAATGAAAAACTTCAACAGTTTTTTAATGAACGCATTTTAAAAGAAGTAAGTATTAACCCTTGTATTATCTTTGAAGTGTTTCATGAAATGTAATGTTTTAAATTTTTTTTAGAGAAAACGTAAAAGCTGAGTTGAAAATTGATATGACTATCTATTTAAACTCAGTTATAACTTTTTGCTAATCATTGCGGTGTAATTTTTATAATATATAATTACTTTTTTTTTGCTCTCTAGTTCCTGATAATAAAACATACTTACATATAGACTTGTTGAATAACAATAGTTTTAAATAATCATGTGAAAGTTACTAACATTTTAAGACCTTACATAGACCTTACTTACATATTAATAAGTTAACAGGAACAAAGTCAAAAATCAGATTTCTCTTTTATTATCATTGATTACAAATTTTTGATCTGATTGTGGTATATTTTATATTAATAGTGTTAAAATATGCTTCTTATTTTACAACTCTTCTAGGAAAAGTACTAATTTTTGTCACTTAATTTTTTATTTATCATCCTGTAGTAAAAGCAAAGTGTTAATTCTATTTCTGAAGTATGCAATTTCAAGTATAAGTTATTTATTATTCTGAAAAAAGGATCAGATATTTGGTTGACTGTTATCTAAGTCAAATTGAAGATTTGGAGTTTTTTGCACCAAGTCTTTCAACAATTTGTTAGTTAATGATAAATAGTGCAGTTTCATTGTATATACACTGTCATTTTTTTAAAATTTAAAAATGATTAAAATAATAAAATATCTTGAAATAGTTATTTCTTTAGAAATTTTTCTGATAGCATTCATTGTACCTCAATGACTATGAAACTTTAACGTCGTACAATATTTTCTATTGCCCATCAGTTAGCTGATTACTATTCTCTATATCTACTGATTTGCTTGAAACTCTATAGATACCCATTATTTGCATTTTTTAAAATCTTATAGTGATCTGGATGTTTGGGGTTTCATTTTATATTAGGTAACAAAATAAAGAAAACCTTAGTCACCATAATATTTAGAGAATTTAAAAAAAAAAAAACAACTCAAAAACTGGTTAAAACAATTAGTTGTTGGGTTAATTTCCTTGAAAGAAAACGCAGCTTTTGGTTTGTGAGTGATTAGTTTGTATTATAAACTAGATTTTAGTATTAAAAAAGACCCTGATTCAAATAAAAACGAAAAAAAAAAAAAGAAAAAAAAAAAACACATGAGCTTTCATTTATCAGTAATAAAGAAATTGCATGAGTTGATATAATAAGAAAATGGTTTTTCTTTTCAGGTTTAGAAGTCAGTTACAACAATGAGTATAGTTTTGAGAGATGAAATTTAATAAATTCATCTGTAGTGCTGAATATTGTTGTGGAGAGAGTTATTGTTATACTAGATATTCTTCTAGCAAAATTTTACTGTATTCATATTGTTCCTCTTTTCTTTTTAGGAACAGGCACTTTATGAAAGAGAACATTTGAATGTTCGAAAAATTGATTATATTGATAATCAAGATTGTATAGGCAAGTATTTTAAGTATTCTTATGTTAATTTTATACATTGTTATTGCTTTTTATGTTATGTTATTAAATGTATGCGTCTTGGTTGTTTTCTTATCATAATTAAAGTCTTTTTTTTTTAATTGATTACAAACATGTATATATCATCAAAATAGCACAACACTTTGAGTTTAAGGCAAAATAAAACAATCAAATCTGGATTAAATTTATAGCTTTTCATATAAATATATTTATGTTTGTTTCTTTTTATTATTTTGTTTTGTCACAGGAGCAATGTTGTGTATGTTAAACGTTTTATCTTTTTTAAGATTTTCATTGATTATTATTTTTGGTATTGATGTCACAAGGAAATATTTCGAAATAGAAAGGTAACATTTCTTTGGGGAAATTATTTCTCTCTCTAGCTTACATAAAAAAAGTTTTTTTTAAACACATTAGAAATTATTCACCCAAAAGTAGATTTTTTAAAAAGAGATTGTTAAAGTATTGCGTATACTCATTAAATTGCATCCAGAGTGACAAAATATCAAGCCTTAGCAAGCATGCCCTTCTTTTAAATGTTTTCCTTTCTGTTCTCACATTTTTCCTTTCTGTTCTCACATTTTAATAATAAAAAAATGACTGATATTTCATCACAATAGAGATAAAATAAAGTTTAAAACTATAAAACCAATTTTTCATTGTCCTTAGTAAAGTATAGTAGTAGTTCTATAGCTTGTAAAATGTAATATTAAATAAAATTTGGAACAAGACTTTTATAAATAGGGTAAGTGGATAGTCTAAGGTTTCGAGAATTTTTGTCTAAATTTTCAATCCAATGTTATTAAAATATGGCACGGAGTAGGTGTAGCAGAGTTTTGAATTTATGTTGAGGTTTTAAAACAAATTTTGTTTTAAGATGTGGATGCAATGATTTCCTGTGTAATAATTATATAATTGTAATGATTTCCTAAAAAAATTGACTAAGTGAGTAAACTGTAGCCAATTTGCATACGTAGGCAAATAAACATCACATTATATAAAAAAGTATATCTTATCAACGCGAACTAAAGTAATACATATGTAGTATAAGTTTTATGTTTATTAAACAGTATTTTGATAATCTTTTTTTACTTGATGGAGTAAATAGTGATTTCTATCTATAGTAAATAAATAACTAAAAGTATAGGCTATTGATGAAATCTGTAGTCCAAACCACCATCTTTTTTCATCATAACCAGTGCACTCTCCAATCTTCAAAATATGTAATCTTATCTTGCATCTTCATTCTACAGCAACTCTTCATCTCTTTTAGATCAACTAGTATAAAAACGTGGCCTAGCATCTAACCAAAATAACTAAGCATTTTTAAACAAACTTCGTGAATGGCTGTATCATGTTACTCAAACATCCCAAAAATAAATAGTTATATCACAAATTAAAAGTTTTAACTTATTAAAAGTTATATCACAAATTAAAAGTTTTAACACAAATTAAAAGTTTTAACTTATTAAAGAGTGGCACTATTTACAGTTTCAGCATGGTGTCAACACAATAAAATATTAAAAACTTAAATAGCCACTTTGCTTGTATTTTTTCCTATTTGTTAAAGTCGAGATTTAGGGAAAACATTAAATTAAAAACAAGTAGTATTAATAGTGAAATATTCCCACTGGAATAATGTGTAAGAGAACTGTTGCAACTTGTTTTGTCTTACATTTTTGTCAAAGATCCTTTTTTTTTTACAAAAATTTTTCGTTTATCTCACCTAAATTTGCACCTGGTCACTCATTATCAGGTATGCACTGGCACTAGAATGCACGAGTACAGCATTCCAGTATTCTTTTGAGGAAGATGCTTTCATTTGAATCTATCTTTCTATTTTATGAATCTGTTATTTTATTTCAAACTGCTGTGTCTATCCTGTCAGATGTGTGTGTATGTAATGAGTGGTTATTTAAAAAAAACATAAATCTGAAAACAACTATGTAAATAAAGAATGTTGAAGAAAAATCAAATTGTGGCAGTGTTGGTTTATAATTATAGCTAGTCATGCTTAAAAAACTTAGTGAAAGAATTCGTCTATGATACTTTTGGTGATTTGTGAGAATCTGCTTTAAAATGTATGAACATCAGTAAAGTTACTTCCAGAAATTTTTTTTTCTAAGGGAACCTATTAATTTTAAGATTTCGCTGAATAAAACAAGATTTTATGATAACTTAAAATGGATCATACTATGTTCTTAAATACAGACATTTGAGTGTTTTCAATATCTTCTTAATCTTCTGCTTCACTAAACTTTTCATTTACATTAAGTCATGTTAAGATCCTATATTGCTTGCTTGAATACAAAACCTGCCATTTTAGTTGATTAAAAATTTTTTTTAGCATCTAAAATTTTTTAGCCATACAACGCTCTTATGCACAGTAAGATCTTGTAAAACATTTCAAATATTAACTTTGCTAACTTATTAAAAAAAGCTCCTTTTCTGATAAATTTACATTGACAAAAATAATACAACTAACATTGTTACTTTCTTATCATTTTGCTTCATAATTTTATTTTTCAATTTCAGAACTTCTTGAAAATAAAGCATCTGGTATTTTTGATCTATTGAATGAAGAAAGCAAACTACCTAAATCTAGTCATACTCATTTTACAAGTATGGTTCATAATCAAAATAGTGGCCATTTCCGTTTAGACTTTCCTAGAAAGTCAAAGCTTAAGTATCATAGGGAAATTAGAGATAATGAAGGATTCTTGATTCGCCACTTTGCTGGTGCTGTTTGCTATGAAACTGTAAGTATATTTATTATAATTAAAAATTGTGATATTCCAATACTTTAATTGCTATTTTTATCAAGATTGTTTTCAACAGAACTTTCTACTTACTGGAGTCATAAGCTGTACTGAACTGTGTCAAATAAGAAGAAATTTTGTCCAATCTAAATCTTGTTCATATTAAAATATCAATTTCATTATTTAGTAACTACATCAAACTTCATTCTATTCTAACTCATTTTTTTAAAAAAAAATTTGGCAATTGGCTTAGAAATGGGTAAACAAATATTTAACATAAATCAACAGCTGGTTTTTAAATATAGATTTAAAAATAACTTTGTCAGTTTATGCTTCTTAACAAAATCTCTAAACATTTTTTCTTATATTGCCTTATAAAGTTCCCTATCTGACATTTTAAAAGAGAAAGATGTGACCATTCCATTTTTTTATTTATATGCTGACAAGTGCAGCATATCTTCTTTAATTTCTATTTGCCTGAAGCAAAATGTTGCTAAGTCATTTTTTTAAGGTCAAACTTTTCATATTTGGCTAAGAGAGCCAAAAGGATAACCTTTTTCTATATATAAATAACATGCATAAATTTGTAAACAATAGCTTCATTACTGTAGATTCCCTTTTTTCATTATAGGCCATATTATTTAAAAATATTAAAACAATTATTTTTTAATGGTTATTGTGCATTGATACTCATTTTTAGTAATGATGAAACACATTGCAATTTTAAATAATGTTTGAAAATTATTTAATATTATCCTTATATGTCCTGATATTTAGCTTTTTGTACTGATATTTAGCTTTTTGTATTGATATTTAGCCTGATATTCTTGAATTTTGTGTCTAAAGCGCATTCTATTTTTTAGGAATATTAATGTGGATTTAAAAATCATTCATTTAAAAAAGTAGAAGGACTTGGATTTTTGATCCAATATCTTTTTATTATAATTAATAATGCTTGTAAGAATAGCAAAGATTGATAATTTAAAGTTAGTGACTGTTCACTAATTATGAATGATTCAGACACATAGACTTACTCATAGGACTTACTATTTCACACTCTTCGGAAATTCAGTTATTTTACGAAAAAGAAAATTTAACTATTTTACATTATCAAATTTTTATGATTAAAATTTTCTTATCAAATTTTCATGGGTTATACGCTTATTTATAATATTTAGCAGATGTAGCAACAGATCTTGCTGGTTGGAGTTCAGTAGTTTCACAATTATTGATTCTGCTTTTTCAACTCATTTTGAAAATAATTGATCCTAATCAACAATACAGTAATTGTATAGAATTTTTAATGTTGAGTCAAGGGATCATATACTAAATTATTTAAGTGCAAAAATCTTTAGCTTTAAATTTACTGTGTTTTAGATTCAAGATTATTGAAACTGTACTTTAAAATTATTTGATTAAGGAAGTCTTGAGCTAGATTATGAATTTAGATAAATTTTGGTACAAGGGAATATTAACCAATTGATACCGATTATTTTTTAAAAGACCTGTTTTATGAAAACTTTCTATATATATTGATCTCAATTTATTATGAGATGTTCAATTCTCCATTATTACAATTGTATTGGAAACTGTTAAAAATTTCTGTTTTAAACAAAGTATATCTCTAATTAAAAATGGCATATTTTCTTTTGTTATTAGTAGAGCAAATGAAAATTTTTTTAGTTTGTCTTTTTTAGAAGTTTTAGTTTGTCTGGTATACATCTACTGTTCTAAAAAACTTCCTGATTTTAATGAAAAATGTCCTGATTTTTTCTTTATCTTACTATGAAGCCTGTATTATGTCATTTCTATATTTTAAAAAATAAATAGTTTCATTATTTTCAAGAGAATTAATATTGTCTCTACTTAATAGTTAATTTTGTAAATAAATATTTTATTTCTGACTTTGGCCAGCCATAATTTTGTAATAGAAAACAGCCATATGATAATAATAAATTTTAAGTTCTGAGTTTATGTTTGAGGATTAAATCTAGATTTTTCTTTTCTGTTTTTCTCAGTAATTCATGTATTTTTTTAGGTTTCTTTTCTTGAAAAAAATAATGATGCCCTCCATGCATCATTAGAAAGTGTAATATTGGAGTCTGAAAACAACTTTATTCAGAATTTATTTAAAAGTGAATCATCTTCTCAGAATACCAAAGGAAAATTAAACTTCAACAGTGTTAGCAGTAAATTCAGAAGCCAACTTAATGAATTAATGACAAAACTGAGAAATACTGGAACTCATTTTGTGAGATGTATAAAACCTAATTTCAAAATGGTTGATCATTGTTTTGAAGGAAATCAGATTCTTGTACAACTTCGTTGCTCAGGTGAAATATAATTTTTGCTTTGTAAATTCTAATAACTAATTTTTCGTACTTCGTAATATTCACTAAATTTATTTATATTAGGTATGACATCTGTTTTGCAACTAATGCAGCAGGGGTATCCATCAAGAGCACAATTTTCAGAATTATATGATATGTACAAAAAGAGCTTACCTCCTGATCTAGCTCGATTGGACCATCGTTTATTTTGCAAGGTAAGAAACCAGTTTTCAAAATTCTGATTGTTATGAAATTTTTCTGTAATTGACTTTTTATTATTTATGATGGTTTTCTAGTATGGTGCATGCCAGTCAGTAAATTTGTTGGTTATTGAAATCAGTTGCTTATTATCATAGAAGTTTCATTAACAAAATCATTTATGTAAGATATTGAAATTTCATCAGTTTTCAGATTCATGACCATAGGATATTTAAATCCAAACTATTAAGACAATTATCAAAATGTACTAAAAGTCTGATAAAGCCCTTTAGTCAGAGATTGTATTTTGATGTAAATATTTCATTTGAATGAAAATAAAAAAATGTTTGCGTTGTTTATTATTCTGTTTAAAATGAAAAATAGCAGAGTATTTTCACTCTCTTTAGCATAACGATATGGTACTTTAATTTGAAGATAAGTTTTTTTAATTTGCTTAACTTTAACCTTGTTAGTGTTAAACTTGAATTAAAGTTCGCAATTATGATTTGTAATTGAAATTTTAACGTTTTAAAGTTACTTTAATTTTTTTTAAATAAAATCCTACTCTTTATACAGGCAATGCTGTGAAACAGTGTCCAAATACTTTTTTCCACCTAAGGGAAGTAGACATTCTGTTAGTGAGTGCTGTTAGTGGTATTAAAATCTTTTGGTACTGATGCAATCACATTAATATATATATGTTATAATTCTAAAATTTAGTTGCTCACAATTATTTTAATTACTCTATTTAATTGTGACATCCGTTATTTTTTTGTCATAATAAATATCCTAATGGTTTAATATTTTTTATTATCACAAGTTTTGCTGTTATCTTTTAAAGAAAAAATAAAAATTTATTGCTGCATCATAATATTATATTGTTAATTATATTAAATTATATTGTATTGCAGTCTCTCTTCAGAGCACTGGGGTTAGATGAGAAAGATTTTTGCTTTGGTGTAAATAAAGTATTCTTCAGACCAGGAAAGTTTGCTGAGTTTGATCAGATTATGAAATCTGATCCAGAAAATTTGGCAAGCTTAATTAAGAAAGTGAAGAAGTGGTTGATACAGTCTAGATGGAGAAAAGCAATCTGGGGATCCCTAGCTGTTATAAAACGTAAGTATTACCTAAAAGTAAACATGTCTACGCCTAATGTTAGTTTTGTTGCTTCTTATTTTTGTTTAGCTATCTAAAATCTATAGACTTATCAGGATTTATTCTGTCTGTCACCAAGGTCTTAGCTAATGTTGATTTAGATAGGATAGTAGGACTAAGTTCTAGCTAGTCCTACTATCCTATCTACTTAGCTAATGTTTGTTAATTTGTTTGAATTGTATCATAAGTTGAATTTATTTTAAAAGTTGAACAGAATTTTTTCTTAACTCATTTAATCATTACTATCATTTAAATACTATTTGAAAAAGTATGTAAAGCAGTTTGCTATGAAATTATTTTTTTAAATAGTTAAAATTCTATAAGTCAACAAAAAATTAAACTCTATTTTTTTACATATAATTTTTTTTTAAAATAAAGGTGNTAAAAGTTGAACAGAATTTTTTCTTAACTCATTTAATCATTACTATCATTTAAATACTATTTGAAAAAGTATGTAAAGCAGTTTGCTATGAAATTATTTTTTTACATAGAATTTTTTTTTAAAATAAAGGTGTATCACTTAGTAATTAAATATTGCTTCACTTCAATTGTAAAATAATACAGAATGAAAATATCTCTTACACCAAACTAACTTTAAAGACACAATTTTTTATTTTTTATCTTAGAGCAATGTGATAAATCTACCAAAAAATTATGGCAGTAAACCTTAGTGCTCAAAAATATAATCAGCTTAATTTTTCATAATATAGCAGCATATTTGTTTATGGAACTCACTTGTCATATTATTATTATTTCCTGTGGTGAAAGCTTTTCAATTGCATCTTAATCTCTGTTTTTTTCTCAAATTAATTTGTAGAGTCTTAGGATTAATTGAATGTGTTTGACAAAGTTCTCTGATTCTGTAGTAGTTGTGCTACAAAAGTGTTAATTTTATTTAAAACAATTTGACTGTCTGAAAAATGTTTTTTAGTGGTAATTGTTTATGATTTAATTTTTTTAGTGAAAAATAAAATTCTATACCGAAAAGATCATCTCCTTGTGATTCAGAAGAACGTGCGCATGCATTTCACCCGTCAGAAGTATCGACCCAGGTATCAAATGTTTTGTTTCTCAAGTGTTTACAAATTTTAGTTTATTTTATCCTTTTGAGATGCTTTTATCTTTTCATTATAAACTAACTAATAGACTGCTTAATTCTAGATTTGTTTAGAAAAACAATCATTATGGCAGGTTAAAATTAGAAAACTTAAATATTCCATTTTGTAATTATATTTTATTACCAAAATCTTATTTTTTTTAAAAAAAAGATTGCATTTTGTCTGATTTCTTCTATTTCAAATGTTAAATCTGTGTTTTGTTAAATTCATATAGCTTATTTATCTACTTTGGTTAAATTTGGAAGCCAAGACTATTGGCCTGTAGTGATGTCTCTGTTTAATTTCCTCTTACCTTTTCTTTCCTGCTCAATATAGTTATCTTATTTAAGAGGAAAGCTGTGATTGACAATAACTGTCAACTGTCGCACCAACTGAGCTATTGTATTGCAATGATTTCCGAGGTACAGATAACTACTGACATGTGTACCTTGCATGTTCCTTTGGACAGGATTTCGAAAATTTGTAAAATATTGGTAGCCTATAATAATATCTGCACTTCCCCCCATTCTTTGTTCTTTTCCAAATTGAAATTTTTGTTGAAGACATCCATGGGTCAAAAAGCCAGTAACACTTTAATTTAGGCAATTTATGTATATATTTTTTATTGCTAAGTATATTTTAAATTATTAAAAATTTATGTATTTTCAGATTTTTATTTATTTTGAAGATTGCATGTAAAAATATGGGAACATAGCTTATTTCTTGTTTTTTTTTGTTGAGAAAAAAAACTACAAAAAAAGTAACAGCATATCCAATAATGTATTTGTTAGGCAAAGAAATTTATACTTAATTACACAAAATCAAAATTTTTATAGCATGTTAAAGTTGCTTTTTTATATAATCTTTTATCTTTAGTTATTTCAAAGACTAATGAAATTTTGATACAAAATTTCTAATTAGCTGTGCTGTATTTCACTCCTCATGTTATTTAGTTTTGCATTAAGTACTTACAATTTTTAACATGTATTTAATTTAAAGTTATTAATATAGTCTTTTCTTAAATTAGGATAATTTTCTTCAATTAAATATTAATCATTGAATCATTGTTTTTACTCTTTATTATCTTATAATTTGTCCTTTCTAGATATATGCATAATTACAAAATGAGAAAACTGGTTAAAAGGTTAGAATCTATGACTGAAACTGTGAATCAGTTAAAGGGTGGAAAAGAAGAAACAGCTCAAAAAATAAAGCATCTTTATAATGCTATGCAGAATAGTATGACAAATGCTAGAGTAAGTTTATTTTCAATTTAACAAATTAAAAGTGTTGCAACAGATGCAATTTTTGATTTTTACTGTATTTTATTTTGTAGGTTAATCATACAAGTGCTGAGAAACTTGAAAAAGAATATGCAACTTTTGTAAATGATGTTGATGGAATATTGGTGATGTTGCATAAGAAACTTGATCAACAAAAAATTGAAGAGGAACAAGAGCGGATTAGAAAAATACAGAAAGAAATGGAGCAAGAGCGTTTACAGAAAGAGGAAGAAAATAAGAGGAAAATAGAGGAAGAAGATATGAAACGAAGGTGCGTTAAGTATTTATTTTCGTTATGTTTTGTATTTTTTTGTTGAAATTGTGGACTCATATGTAATTTGTAGCAATTTATTTTTAATTTTAAGCATCATAGCCTTTCTTTCCAATTTTTAAATAGTAAATTTTAAATTGAAACTGTTTCAGAACCAAGTAAATCTCTCAACCTTTTTATTGTGGGTGGCAAGAAATTTCTTATCATATGAAAGTTGAATCAACCATTCCTTTGTTTTCTTCAATTATTATTATATAAATTATTCATTTAATAAATGTTTAAAAGTTGATCCTCTAATTTTGAGCTAATGCTTATTAGTTTATTTTTAAATTTTAGGAAAGTAGAGTTAGAGCTGCAGAGGAAACTTGAAGAGCAATTAAGGATTGAAGAAGAAAAAGCAAACCAAAAACAAGCTGTTAGTAAAATAAATAGTTTTTTTTTATTTAGCAGCTAAAACTAATTTAATGATGTCTATATTTTCTTTCTTAATGTGCTAAAGTGTTACATAATATAGTAAATATACATTATTAAAACATTATTTAAAACTGAGATTTGTAAGTTTTTTTAGTAAAATTGAGGAAATTGTTCATTATATCATTTCTTGTAGAAAATATTGCAACAGCTGAAAATTTGATATTTAAGATGTTAAAGTGAATTAAGATTTCACAGTCTATAATAAATCAATCCACCTTTTAAAAATGCTTGAGGGAATAAATCAAAAGATTGCTTTTTAATTTTCATGTAGCGCTTCTAGGGTTTCAAAACATAAATGTATATTACACATAATTTTTAATGCATTAAAAAAAATTTATTATTATTAGACTCTTTTGCTGTTTGGCAATAAGTATTCTGTTAGGTTGCAGTAATGTCTACAAATATACTTACTTTATATACAACAATGCCACTTTATTTATAACAATGTTATATAAAGTGGAACAACATCAAAGTGTCATAAGTTTTGATTAGAAATAAATCTTGCATGCTAATTTTGTCCACCCTTTTTGTATACTACATTATTCCTCCTACATTAAATTGTTCGTATGCTCACAATTCTTGCATCAATTTATGGGGTTCTTAACACTCTTGTACTCTTTTGAATCAACAGATTGCATGCATAAATTTAAGTGATTACATGATTATAGTCTTGTGTTTAAAACTCAAAAGAACTCAGTAAAAGACAAAGCAGCATTATCAATTTTAAAGAGGTTTTCTTTTTCATTATTCTATAAAATTCATTTATTTACTGTAGCAATGCCATTCAGTTTCTGAAGATAATTGAGAGTTTTCTGTCTATTTATTATTTTCTGTATAATATCTTCGCAAATATCTCTGTCTTGTATTTTTGTTCAATCAATTTTTTCTTTTAAATTTTTCTTATTTTTGAAATGTAGGAAGCTTTCAGGGCTGAACTACTTCTGCGGGAAGAAGATGAGATGAAAAAGTAAACAATATTCTAACTTTTACCCCTTCATTTATAGTTAAGAGTTATTCTTTTCAAAGCACTTAGGATCTGTAAAATAAGCTTTTATTTTTTAGACAATTCCTCAGAATTACTCAAGGTTACTCAAAATTACCAATACTTTATAAGTTAAAAAAATTTGAATGTTTATATATTTAAGAACTCATATTTATTTCTGCTTTTATTTAGAATATTATTTAGTGTTACTTTTTAAAGTATACTGATTTTAGTGATTTTATTCTTAAATTTAATTATTTAGCTAAAAAGGTTTTAGACACTAAAATTGATTCCTTTCTGTAGAAATACAACTTTGTTTCGTATGCTGAACATTTGTAAACTTTCATAAAGTTAAAAATCAAAAGTATAACTAATTACATGGCATACATATCAGGTACAATTATAAATATCTTTTTTATACTGTGTTATTTTTGAGAGAATTTATAATAAGTTATAAATTAGTTTAATGATTTCAAAAAAGTGGATATTCAAATATTTAATATTATCTAACTTAATCACAAAATTCGTTATAAGTTCATATATTTTTATAAGATTTAATATTTTATAGATTAATTTAATAAATACAGTTAATTTAATAAATACTCTTAAGTACAGATCAGTCTTTTTACTATGTTTTCAAAAAAAAAATTATAGCCTATAGCTTAAAAACTATAGTTGCCACAAAAAATTGCTAATTTCAATTACTGTAGAGCATAAATAAGCTTCTTATTCAGTTTTTAACTAAAATTTTTGTGAACTTTCCTTTAGGCAACTACAAGAACACAGTGATCATGAACTTGCTTTGAGATTAGCTCAAGATATGAATGGGATTCCTGATGAAGTTGTGACTCCACCTAGATTACCTAGGTAAATTTTACTTCAACCTATACAGGGACTTGGAGCTGGAGCACTCCAGAGCTGTGATTTCCCTGGATCTGGGGCTCTAAATTTTTCCAAGCTCCAAGACTCCAGCAATTTCATTGTATCCTACAAACATTCAAGAGCCCTTCCACATTGTAATTGTATCGTCTGTTAGCCAATTTGGTATAGCAATATTATTTTCGGCATTAAAATATATTTACTACGATATGAAGGAGGATTTATTAAATTCAATCCTTTTCTTAAGATTGAACAAATAACTCAACTGTGAATTAAATTTGTATTTTCTGTGCGAGCGGATAATTATTATTCTTTGATGCTCAATTTTATAATAAAAATTTCAAATTAAAATCTAAAACTCAAAAGCTTGCAGATACATACAGTAAAACTGCCAGAGCCTTAGTGGAGCTTTAGCCTATCTGGAGGGGAGCTTGAGCAACGAAAATTTTCCGCTGCTTGGTCCCTGAATTTATACGTATGCTCGTTTTCCTAAACCACTATAGTAACATGCTATAGTATTGTAAATGATCTTTGCCATTCTTATTAATTGAGATTATTAATTGAGTTTTTACTGAAAGATAAAAAGTGTAATATTAAATTTTTTTTTAGGAATTTTAGAGTACTAAAATATGTTTCTTCCTGCCAATGAAAATTTGGATCTATGATTAATTAAAATTTATGGTTATTTTGAATTTTAAAATGTTTTGTTTACTCAAGTTCACCCAGTTAATACCAAAGCAAGCATCATCACCAAAAATGTTGTTGATGTAAGACTCACCTGTGCAGCATTGTAAAATCTACTAACACATTAAAGATCAGACTAATGTCTTAGTTATTTCCTCTGTTGATCATAGGATTTTAGAATGTAACATAATAATTGGGATATTGTGCTTTACCAAATTATTCACAGATTCTATTTTAGTGCTATGGAGTTCAAAATTTTGCATGCAAGGCATTCTAGTAGTTTTCTAATGTGTGGTACTTTTTAAGCACTATTGATTGCAGTAATATAGAAGTTTTCTGGGTTCATTATTTATTGTGTTAACAAAGATAACAGGTGATAAAACTAAGATTATAAAAAACGAATGAAAAAAGTTTAAATGCATGATAAAAGTAGTAATAAAAACCAATACCCGATTAATAGAATGAACCCAAAAATGAAAATAGAAGCTAAATATTTTGCAATTAGCTTTGCTTCTATCTAACTTATTAAATGAATGTTTGATTTAGCTAGTAGAATATTTAAATCTATGAAGGAATGTTTGATATGTTGGTATAATTTTTAATGTATTTTCAAGTTTGTTTAAATTTGAATCTTGGTAAAAGTAGGAAATGTACTTAGAAATTCTTCTCTCAAATTTCTGATCTGCATATTGACATTGCAGGTCTGCATATGTAATGCAACAACAAGAACAGCTTGCCTCTAAGAAATATGATTTATCCAAGTGGAAGTATTCTGAAATTAGAGATACAATTAATACATCAATTGGTGAGTTTTTTCTTTTTAAAATTTTTCTTTAATTGAAACAATTTCTGAAGTTTTACTTTTTCATTTATTTTTGATTAAGTGAAATTTTGTTTTTAAAATTATAAAAAGTGCAGTTATAAGTTTTTTTTCTACTTCACAGATTTTCCTTCTAATTTGACTATTTTAATTGATTAACATGTTTAATTTAAAATTGTCGTTGTGAAAAATAATTTTTACTGAAGAAATGACCACATTTAAGGCTTATGACTATTGTTTAGCATTAGTATCACCCTTGCTGTGTATGGCAAAATATATTTGCTTTAATGAATTCTGCCACTCAAAAAACTTGTTATTGATTTCAGATTTATTGTCTTCTTATCAGTTTATCTTTATTTAAATATAAAATCATATTATTTTTTTATTTTATTTAGACTTAGAACTTCTTCAAGCTTGTAGAGAAGAATTTCATCGCAGATTAAAGAATTATCAAAACTGGAAAGTAAAAAATATGCAAAAAGGAGGGCCAAGTCAAAACCGTGTGCCAGATTCCATAATGCAGTCTGGTAAATATGAATTTTCTTTCTAAATTTGTTAACTAATGATTCAGATAGTTTTATGTAAAGCATACTAGAGTGAATTTTTATTGAATTGACGTTATCATTAACAACGAGGCATGGACTTAAAAAAATTTATAAAAAATACGAAAGCTTTAAAATAATCCATTTAAAAACTATACTAGTTTTTATCAAGCAAAATAATTATTTATATAAAAATACTTGCAGAACTAATCTTATTTGTTTAATTATATTACTGAGTTTTTTTCAATAATATTTCAGTAAAGTACATAAATATTTGTAATTTTTTATTTGCAAAACAAATAATTGAGCAGTATGCTTTTGGAACGTTTTTTATTTACTTCAAAATGAAAAACTTTAGTAACCTAAATCTTGTACATTTTAAGTTTTTTGTAGAAAAAAAAATTCTTTTTCCTCTTTGTTAGAAATAGCTTTTATATATATATTTAATATATTCTTTTTATATATTCTGATGATAAATTTTAAAAAAAAATGCTTTATGTTATAGCTAAAGCTGTACCACCAATGCCTCCTAAGCGTAATTCATCTCTAAATTCTACTGCTACACATAGATATTTTCGTATTCCATTTGTGAGACAAAATTCCCCCCAGAAAGGGTGGTGGTATGCACACTTTCATGGTCAGTGGATTGCACGTCAAATGGAACTACATCCTGACAAACCTCCTATACAACTTATTGCAGGTATTTTTTGTCAGTAATTTGGAGAATGTTTAGAAACTTGTTATTTTCTATTCTTCTGTATTATTTATTTATATATTTTCTACATCTATTATTAATTCTAGGTAAAGATGACATGCAAATGTGTGAGTTGAGTTTGGATGAAACAGGATTAACTAGAAAAAGGGGAGCTGAAATACTTGAAGAGGAGTTCAATGCTGTTTGGGACAAGCATAGTAGTGCTAATAATTTGTGTGAAAATTGAATTAGGTTGCTAATCAAAATTTTGTATTTTGTTAATATTGAGCTTTAAAAAATTAAATTTCTTGACACATTAACCATGTTAGAATTCTTCTTTACATAAGTAGTTTGTATATTTCAAACTACTATTATGAAATAATTATAGTTAAAGCTATTATTAATTTTTTTGTACTCAAAATATTTTATCAAAGTACTATTTTGATCTGTTGATTTGAAGTGTGAAGTTTCTCCATTTTATTAAGCAGTTTTTGTGATCTTATTATGATATGTTTTAACCCTCAGGTGCATTCACCGATGAACATAATGTTTCTTCCCTGTGCACTGTTTCTCTATTTATTAACATACTTTAAAGAGAAGCATCCATTTGAAATTTGGGTTTTTATGTTCAAAACTGTCTTACGATTGTTGTTATAGTTTTTTTATTATTATTATTTTAAGATCTTGTGCTGGGAGTCAGATTTATGAAAAATGAAACTCAATTGTTTGCTTAAGTTATTTGAATTATACTTTCATGTTTTTTTTATTTTGAAAACAAATCTTATTTGAGGTGCAATAATTTGTAAGGAAGCTTGTTTTCTTTTCTTAATGATAATTCAAGATGAATAAATTAAATTATTATTTTTCCTAATATTTATTTCTTAATCAAATCAAAATAATAAGATTTCTGAAACCTTTAGTTTTGATAGACTGAAAATATGTCCCATCATCTAACAATGGTCTTTTAGCCTGCCACAAAAGTAAAATGAAAATTAGGTAGTGAAAAATGTTTTTACTTTTGTAGACTTTTCTTTGATTTTAACTTATTAAATTTAAAATAGTTAAATGCTTCAGCATTTTTTAATGAGTTACTTATTAAATGCATACCAATTAAATAGTTCTAGTACTTTGTTTAGACTTTTTTTTGTCTGTTTTCCCTTTGAATTTTGTTGATATCTTTGAAGATGTTCAAAATATTTTGTGATTATTCTCTTAATTAATTTGAAAGACTCTTCTTTTTGTTTGTGTGTGGTTTTTTAATAAGGTAACTAGCATTTTTAAGTTGGTGAAAAATCAAGTTTGACATATTTTATTGTAATGTTTAGTTTAGTTCATAGCTATATGAATAATTAATATTTATGCATGATGACTGTTAAGTAAATGGAGTGATAATACAGAATTTTTATCATAACTTATTCTCTATTTTTTTTTTAAAATCGCACATACTAATCTCAAACACACTTTTAAAATTTTTTTTAAAGTATTTTAAATTCAATTTTTTCTTCTGGAGCTTGAATTTCTAAAAACATAAAGCAAAAGTGAATATTGTATATTCCAGTGTATAAGTCAACCCTTTTCTTTTTGATTACTAGTTAAAGAATTTCTGGTATGTCGAGTGAATTGTCGACCACTGAAAAAACAAACATAAAAAATTCTATTTTATTGTAAAATCTTTTAAAAACTGTGGGATTTTGAATTTTGTGAAGACCATTTTGCAGATAAGAATGAAATAGAATCCATAAGACGACACTGCTAAAGTTATCAAATTCAACACATATGATGTTCTCGAAGATTTATATTTGTAGCTTTATGGTTTGTTTTAAAAGTTTTCATTGTGTTATATTTTTTAAAATGCTCTTGAATAAATTTTCTTAAGTTTCCTTATTCTTATTTTTTGATCTGAATACAATTAGTGTTGTTTCTAAAAAATTTTTATAAATAATTAAAATAAGAGAAAATGCAAAATTAATTGTATTAAACATATTAAAAACAGATTTTGAAAGAGGTAAAGTGATTCAGAGTAATTCATAGCTATTTCATTGTTTATAATGTATCGATATTTCATGATCAATGATTGTTGAACTTTATTACCCGTGTATAAATAGACTCCTTAAGTTTTGTAAAATTTTGGGGGTTGAAAAAGTCGACTTATGCACTGGGATGTATGGTAGTTCAGTGTCCCATAACTCATTTTGACTGTTTATGTGAAGAAAGTACTTTTAAAATGATTTGCTGAAGTATCCTTTTTATTTCTTGTTGATTCTTTTAGTTTAATTATAACTTTTGAATTAGTAAAATATGTTCTGTTTGAATCAGTTTTCAAGTCATAATTTTGTATGCAATATTTTTTTTTGTCTCACTTTGTCTTATATTTACTTGATTTATAGCATTTGTCCTATTATTTTTATACTTACAAAAGAGCTCTCTGTGATAAAAAAATACTTAAAGGATTATTCACATATAGTTAGATGTTCTATGTCAAAATCAACTTTTCTGTTGTTTTTTTATATGTAACATTTTTTAAAGACAAAAAATTTATAAATAAAATTTATGTATACTTGTAATCCATTCCTACTATACACTTCTTAATTCACTCTCTTTCTTTCAATAAATGTAAGTTTTATGACTGGCAAATCTATTAGCAAAGATAAAATAGATTTCTTACACAAAATATTTGATAGAAACTTCATAAATATTAATTAATTATTTATTTATTTTCAGATATTTTAACTTACACTCATTTTTTTAAAAAAAAAAAATGCATTTACCACAGATGTTTTATTTTAAAAATTGTCTTTTGCAATTATACATTTTAGAAGATTAAAAAACTGAGCAAAAAAAAATTTTTTTTTTGCTGACTTTGAGAAATATTTTATTGTTGAGTTGAGTATCATAATTCTTGGTGAAATGTTTCATTATTTGTGTAAAAAGATAAGATATTTTCTATTGTATGCTTTTATTTTGAAATTAAACATGCATTAACTATAACTGTTTTCTTATTGTTTTATTAGAAAGCAAAAAATATCCATACTTATTAAGAAATTACTTAATGAATTGCAAAATTACTTCCAGTGAAAATTACTTAAGCTTCATCTGAGAAATGATAAAGGCTTCTTGAAAATCATTTACTTTCTTATTAATTCGAAATTGCTTTTAATGATTTTTTTAAAATTTTCTCTTTTTTGTTTAAGTCATTATGTTGACATTTTAATAAGGAATTTTTTTTTTACTGTATTTGTAAAGCATAGTAGAGTATGCATCTTTAAAGCACTCTGTTATTCAGAGCTGTCTTAACTTACATACATTCGATGGAAACAAAGTTCTAATCCATGTTTACTTTCTGAAGGAGCTTTAAATAATTGTTGTTTAATGTAATACAAGTGCCAGATAAATTGTTTCAGGCTTGTTGATTCGATATCTGTAATGAGGGGTTTATATAATATATAATCTGATTTTATTTGGATTTCAGAATCATGTTTAACAAACTGAGCATTTGCTACACCTAAAGATATCTTTTTCTCTTCTGTTATTTATTATGAATGCTGCTCATTAATGAGTAATATATATGCAGACTTGCCTAAGAGTGAAATGCTTGGTCATTTAAGTAAATTTTCTAAGATTATTATACTATCTTTTATCACAAACTTTTCTAATCTAATAAGTTATATCCTTTCAATATAAAGTTATATAATTTCATTTAAATTTAATGCTAAACTCTTATATTTCTCCTTTGAGTCATTTTATCTTGTGTTTTTAAGTACTGATGAATGATTTAATATTGGAAATATTTCATACTATTTTTAATAAGTGTAATATTTTTAAATTTGTGTGATTTTTAAGAAATATTAGTTCCTGTGTGAGCATACTTTATTAAGTAATGTATACATACTAGTGTTTGTTTATTTATAATTTACATATTTTTAATATAACTTAAAATAAAATTATTTATTTCACAGGTTTTTATAGCATTAGATCTATGGTTCTGACGTTTTTTTTTCATGTATATTTATTTTTTATCTTTGAAAATTTCCCAATGAATTTGTCAAAGTATGCTTTTATATTTATTTATCGAGAACTTATCTATTTACTCAATATTTAATGAAGATCGTATACTATAAAAATTAAATTTTTATGTGTCTATATATATGTGTGTTTGTGTTAAACCTAAATCTGATATTTCCAAAGAATTTTTTTATTTATGATTTGTTTATTTCCAGCTGCTTTATCGCACATTTATATTTTGAAGAAAACATTCCATAATAGTGCTTAAAAATATATATCTATATTCAAGTGCAATTATTTTAAGCAAAACTGAATTGATATATTTTGATATACAATAATAAATTATCAAACTATCTTATTCTTTTGGTAGTTTATATTCAAAATTTCTATTAAGCTGTTATATATGTGTTGATAATGATGGAAAATGTTGGTTTCTTTTAAAATTTATGTTATAAAATATAAAATGCATTGCTGATTTTTCATTATTTAAGAAAATTGTATCACGTATGATTGATTCAAAGTAGTTTTTATAGTGAAAAATTTTCATGTGTTGTAAGTCATATTGGGTTTTATATTGCTAGTCTTTGTTGCACTTATGTCTTTGTATAACTGCATTTGGTGTTGGGGCAGCTTAATGAAATTTTTTATTTCCAATAAAATGAATTTGTCTTACTTTATTGTTTTTATTTATTTACACCTTAATACACTGATATAATTCTTGCTTTAATTCATCTAAGATGAGCTCCAAATTACTCTTATAGCAAGCTTTCTTGATGATTTTTTCCTTACGGGGGAATAACTGAGAAAACTTTCAAAGAATTAAAAATTTACTTGAAACGATGTTTCTTTTACTTGCTGTAACTTAAGTTAGTACAGTTTTTAACCGATTTACTTCAAATTTGGACACATGTTTATAATATAGTTTTTTTTTTGCATTGGCTGGTTTTGAGTAATCTGCGAAAAAATAGTATATTTGTCATTTTTTTTACAAACTATTTTGAATTTAAAAAAAAAAAATCCTACATGCTATGAAAATTACATGAATGTAGTTTAAAAAAAATCAAAATGGAATCAAATTTGGATGCCCTCTTTGGAAATTGGGAAGCACTTATATGACACATATTTATAATTTTTGTATCATGATAAACTAAAGGATAAAATATGTAGTTAGATAAAAAAAATGAATTTAGTAAAAATATATCACAATTGTAGAATTCATTAAAAATCCTTTTTTTACAAGCTTCAATTGTTTTGCTCCCCCTTAAAAAGAAACTTTTATAAAATATTGTATTTTAAATGCAGAAAAATAAAAATTGTATTCTCACATATATAAACATGTTTTAAATCTAGGATTCAAAGAATTTATATTATAGAATACATTTAAAGAGTTTAGATTATGTGTAGAAAGTCACATTTTCCCACATTTCTATTAGGCATCCATCCTTATACAAGTTCCGAAATACGTTGTATTAACTTGACTTTATTTACCCTTAAATGTTATTTTATAAAGTTCATTTAAAAACACTGAAAAAGTTACATTTTAATTCTTTTAGAGTAATAACTTAATATTTTTGAATAGCTCAAAATATAGGATTATAGAAAAGTTTTTTTTTCAGAGTTGTCTATATTTATAAATATTAATCAGAGTTGAGAAATTTTGAATGTGAACACTTGTTGCCTATTAATTTATAGCACTGCCCTATTTGATCTTGTTTTAATTTAGTAACATTTATGCAGTTTTGGCACAAAATGTTGCAAGTATAATTGTTGTTACAAAATGTACATTTTTGAGCACTTTGCTGCAGCTGAATCAAACTTAGGATCTGTTTTATGGCAATAATCTGATTTTTCTGCAATCTTTGATATTTTTAATACGATGTCATTGTGGCACGTGAACTTAAATCTGAGAAATCACTTTTTCACGAGCTTGTTAAGCATTGATTCCATATTGTTTCCTGATAGATTTTTTCTTCAACTATTTATCGATAACTAGATTTGTCACGATTTGCTAGTTAGGCTACAAATTTCGTTTAAAGCAGTCTCATTTAATAAAATTGGTAGGCTTCCTGAAAATAGTGACTTTTTATTAGATTTTTTTTGAAAAAATAGTAGCCGCGCTTTTATTCTAGAAGCAAATAGTCGCCAATAGAGGTCTTATATAAAGGGAAATCTATGTATTTGTAATCCAAATGTTTATCACATCTTGCAGAACAAACTTTTGCCCAGTAAAAACAAATCGAATAGATTTTGTAGCAAAAGATTTGTCGACAGATTTTTACATACAAACAATAAGGTTTCATTAACATGTAGCATTCTTATCTGTTGTTCCATCTAGTTCCTCTCTTGTTGAAGGAATGTTGTCCTATATTAAGATAAGATGTTTTTTTTCTTTCAACGATTATTACTTATTAGAAAACTTACTTTTTTCTACCTAGGAGAAAATATTTGCTAAATCATGTAATATTGAAACTTAATAATGTGTAATAATAAGGTTCAGTTCATGATGTGTGATATTGTGAAGGACTGGCAAATGTTGACTTCCTCCAGAAAATGTCAGAATTCACTTGGTTGTTTTGATTTTATATCCAAAATACTTATTGAATGTCATTTATCAAACTAGCAAACAATGTTAAGTCTGTGAGAAATAAAAAAGAAACTATTTACTATTAGTACATGTATAAATGTTAAAAAACAATATTTAACAAGTATTTTAGACGTACACCAAGGCTTATTTAAATACTGGAAACCAGAGTAACATATGAGCCATCTAATTCCAAAACTTGATAAGCATTATTCAAATATTTTTATTTTCATTAAAAAAAAAAACCTAAATGGCTCTAATAAAGAATTCATATACATATATATATATAATTGTGACAAATGAAACAATCTCTGTGTGTGAAAATCAGCAAAGACCAATAGATGTCGCTGCCTATGTATTTAAACTGTTAGAACTATTTCGATGTAAAGGAAGCGGCAGTTGGAAATGTATATGCAAACCTGTGTGGTTTAAAAATAAGTCTGTGTGACTCGTGTTTAAAGGAGCTTTTGTTATTAATGGAAAACTATCATCCTTACTAATTTTTCCATTGTCTTAGTTAATGGTCATCTTACAAATATATATATATTAAGTTATAAAATATTTGAAATAGTCAATATTAAAACAATTTATTGTGCAGATTTTATACAAATGGAGTGAGATAAGTTACAGAAGAAAATTAACAAAAATATTTTTTTTTTTGTAAATGGAAATATAAAAATGTGATATAAATGTAAAAAAGTTTATCAATAAATTCTCTTCATATTTATTACAAACGAAAATACTTTTAGAAGTGATCATAATCTCATATTTTGAGCTTTGTTGAAATAAAACATTCATGAAACTTGCTACATCTTGAAAGAACAAACATAAGGAATATAAAATTATAGTTTTCTTTTAAGATTTGACTTTGTGTTAAATGATATATTAGTATGAAAACTATTCTCCATGTTGGCACAAGCTGCATCTTTGGAAACTTATGTAATAGCAAGGCACTTGTTCATCTTTGATTTTTTAACAAATTAGTTGATATTTTCTAACATGATAGCAATTCCTTGACCTCCACCAATACACGCAGATCCTATAGCATATTTTGCTTTTCTAGCTCTAAAAAAAATTAAACATTACATGAATAGCAATTCTAATAGTCATTCTTTGAAATACATATGTAACCTAAATTCATTATTACAAAACTAAACACATATATTTTATGGTTATTAACCAATTTCTATATCAAATAGTATATTTTCTTAATTATTCTTTAAATGTCGATGAGGAAATGAGCCAAGTCTTAACTAAGCAAATCAGACAATTTTCAAACATTTATCCTAACATGTCTTAAAACAGAGCCTGTTATAAATAAATATCAGTGATTTGAGGTTAAAATATTTGTTTAGTTTAAAAAATTATGAAAGTTTGAAAAGAGAAAAAATAAATTGAACATAAGTAAACTATTTAGAGCCATTACTTTTGCACATACATTTATCTCTATATATTGCCTAGTTTATATTGGTACATAAAGTAATGTAAAATTTGATTATTTGAATCTACGATTTAAATTCTGTAAAAGGCATTATAAATTACAAGAGAAAGTATGCTTAGAAAAATAAGTTATTAATATGACTAAAAATTATATAGAAAACTTTTCTTCATAACGTAATTGCATAAATTTATCTTAATGTGTAGTTCGTGCAGAAAATATTTTAAGTTACAAAATCAAACACAAAAATGTTCTTCCTTTGAATAAACAAAACTTTTTTTTTTCAATGGATTTTGATTTTTTACAATCAAAATATGAGAAGTAGTTGCAATCTGGAAAAGATGGTCCCAGTAGTTTAGTCAGGATAGCGCTCCAAAGTTAATGTTAATTTCTTCATTTAATTTTGCATATTTCTCTATATCTCAATCAGGGTTCCTACTCAATTTTCGAAAAACAATTCAAGGACTTTTCAATGACTTTCAAGGACCTAAACTCAAATTATTCAAGAACCCATTTAGTATTACAGTTAATATACAAAAGTACATGCCAACCAGATTTAATAATTTCGTCAAAGCAGAAATTGTATATTTTCAAAGCACAATGCTTATTTTACAAAATAATAATATCAATACAGTATAGGATCTGAAATCCGGCACTCACGGGACCGACTGCCGAATTTCGGATCTCTTCCGGAAATTCCAATATGGCGCCCATATATTACGATAATTCAATTATGCTGTTAATTTCAGAAAAACCAATAAAATTGGCTAAGTTCCGATTGTAGATTATGATGGGGTGAATTTAAAACTGTCCCATCTTAAGAAATTTCATTAATAATCTATATAATATAATCAAGGAGAAATAATCCAAAGAAGAAATAATTCAACATGATATAATCCGAATCCTCCAAAAAAGAAATAACCGTTTTTTATTCCGCGTGAGATCATTGTTTTCATTTTTTCTTTACATAACATTTTGTTTTAACAAAAGACGCTTATCTCGCAAAAAAAAAGAAAAAAAAAAAATTAGTTATCTNGTAGGGGTAGAAAGTTAGTAATGAAAAAAAAAAAAAAAAGAAAAAAAAAAAAAGAAAGCTAACAAGGAACTGCAAAAAAAGTAACAATTAATGCTAAGAAACAGACAGTGAATAACTACAAAAAAGAAGCAAACAACTAAGAAGGAAAAAAACAAGTTAACAATTAACAAATAAAAGTAACAATTAATAACAAATAAAAAGATAAATAAATTGAATAAAAAAAAGCAAAAGGGATAGAATTCATTTTGTACACCACTGGTAGTTTCAATGTCAACAGGCTGTGGCCAATTTATGGTCAAACAGGAGAGGGAAATGTAGGGACAAACCAGTAAAGCACTTGCACAGCTGTCAAGATTGATTGATCAGTTTCTCCCAAATTGCATTTCTTTATTTTGTACATTGGAAATGCAGATGTTTTTACTTTTCAATTTCACTTTATTTTAAACTGCTTTAGGAACAAATGTTTTGTTTGACAGATTTATTTTTTTCATGCTTTTTTAAAAATAAAATATAGTAACTTACTTCAAGAGAAAAATTCCAAATAAAAAGATAATATAACTGATTTATTTTTTCTGGTATCAATAAAAATTTAGTTAGAAAAAAAAATTAGGTCGGATTAAGTGCAGAATTTCGGGATGCCGGATTAGGGGTCCCATACTGTAATAATTTAATTTATCAGCTACTAATGCAAATGATTGATAGTTTATATTGCTGCTTCAAATCACTTTGAAAAATTCTAATTGACATAAATTGACTAAAAGAGTGATTTTTAAAATTTTATGAACATGCATGATTTTCACATTTATGCAAATCTAGATATACTATATGTAAATCAAAATTATAAGAAAGGTGAAGTAAGTCTCGAAGATTGCATAAATCACGCATCACAATTTGCGATTTGTAAATTGAAATCAAATTGCGGAACAATATGAATCGCAAATGTTACAAAACGCAGGAGCTAACAAGACTTAAATCACGATGTGAGATAAATCACTTTAATATGAATTCTGTTGCATGATTAGTTAATAATTTTCATGTGAATAGTGATCATTATGAGGAAAATTGTAATTTGTGACTCAAAAGTTGCTTAATTTAGAAAAACTCTTGTGTGATTCATAAATCATTTGGATAAGAATTGCAAACATTAATTCTTAAATCTCTTTTAGGTGAATCACGATGCGTAATTCTTAAATCCTTCTACCATATAAACTACTTGAATGAGAATTGTGATGCACGATTCTGAAATTACTTAAATATGTATCAAGTTACATTAATCAGAAATAACTTTAATTGAAATCATAATGTGTGATTTATAAAATACCTTAATACGAATTCTGATGAGTAATTTGAAAATCACTTTAAAGCAACATTCGATAAGATTCATTAATCAATTTCATTCGAATCCCAATTCATAGAACATTTTATATGAATTCCAACCCATAAATCAAAAATCAGTTTAATGTGAATCACGATTTTTATTCATAATTCGTGAAATCTAGAACTAAATTTTATTTATTAGCAGTAGAAACTTAATGTAAAAATCTGATTTTGATTTTATATGATAACATTAATGATCCTTCTTATAAAAATTAAAAAAACTAATAGGATAACAGTCATAATAATGAAGTTAACACATTGAACATATTTCTGAATCGATGAAACACTCGTTATCATTCAGAAACTATGACTACAAAAACTAAAATTAGTTAGAAATTTTAGCTTTCCAAACATCAGAGATAATAATTTGAAGTGAAAAATCTAGAAGAGAAAAATTTTGTATCTTCTAAAACCTCTTTTCACTTAAGCATCAAAAATTGCATCTACCAGAATCTCAAAAATTTTTGTTTGAAATTATTTATTACTTTTTTAACTGCTTTTTTGTAAAAAAGATTAGTATTATTTTAATTCCAAAAAATCAAGTACTTTTCAAATACCCTATGGCAGAATACAAGGACTTTTCAGGGCTCTGATTTTTTTCACCAAAATTCAATGACTTTCAAGTACCGTGGTAACCCTTTACCATAATTAATTATTTTTTGATACTGGCCAGAATAAATTTGAATTTTAAGGTATACTATAACAACAAAAAAATTATTATCTAGTTTAAAATGACTTATAAAGTTACAATTAAGTATGAATTTTACTATTTTAAAAAAATGGTTGAAATCAAATTAAATGATAAAAACTATATTTTGCATGAAATTTTCTCAGAATAGATGAGTTTTATAACATGAGAGTGTGAAAAAGTATTAAACGATTCCAAGATATGATGAAATTCGCAATAAGGGGAAAAAATTTGCGACCAATCTCCTGCTTAAATCATTGGGTAGATATTTTGCAGATTGAGAGTAACCACTTTATAATTTGACAGTCTTGGATCTGAATTTATTGAAAACAAAGCTATATATATTCAGAAAAAGTACATTTTTATGTCTGATTTTTAAAAAACTTAAATGTGTTACCAACACAAATTAACGATGCATATTTAAAACTAGCCTTCAGTTAGATTGTGCATGAAAATCTAATCAATAGATCAATAGGCATTTCTGTTCGGTAACCTTAAGAGAAAATACTATCTTTATGAAACGCATTCACTTTTGACAGTGTAAAATATGAATGCTACAAGATTTATTGGACTTACCTTAACTCATAAACCAAATTAGCTGTAATTCTGGAACCAGATGCACCAACAGGATGTCCTAAGGCTATTGCACCTCCATTAACATTAGTTTTAGCAGGATCTAAGTTTAATTCTTTTTGAACAGCTAGGAACTGAGAAGCAAATGCCTCGTTAATCTGAAAGCGAAAATTTCCATTAATACATTAGTTCACTAATTTCTTAGTTGGATTTGGATTAAAAAAAATGATTAAACAGCACAAGAAAATTAAAGAATGAAAGTAAATATGATGTAAAGTCATACTAAACTAATTCCCTTCACACAGCAAATAGCATGTTTGTATCAAAATTGGTGTAAGATAGGCCCAAAAATAAATACATTACTGCATGGCTTTAAAATTAATACAGATTACTCAATTAGGTCGACAAGTATAGCTTATTCACCAGGAGTTGGCACTTGGCTCCACCTTCTCGGATGCAGAGTACATTTCAGTGCGAGAGTAAGAGGAGAAACATCTCCACATCTGGAAATGAGACAACCATTAAACGTGCCAAACGCAAAATTCTTTTTCACTCACTTACTTCGCTTTATCATCTGCTATTATACCTTTCGTTACTCTAGCTAATTAAACATATGTTCAAATTAAAAACTACTGTTTTCCTCGCAAAATGTCTCGAAAAAGACAAACTATTCACTCAAAAGAGAGAAATACCATAAAATATTTAATGTTAAAAAAATGCACATAAAGATTGCGAAATAAATATATTTGTCATATGATCGCCAAATATCAACCTTGTTCACATCCTTCTCCCAAAAATAGTGCCGCCTTCATCACATGGTATCCTCGGATACCATGTGATGAAGGCGGAGTCAAGTGCCAACTCCTGGTTAACGATCTATATAACATAAAGCACAGATAAAATTAACATGCTCATTTTTAAGGTGTATTTCTACGTATGATGGCAGACTTACAATTTTGAAGTAGCTGATACATCATGGAACATCAAAGTTTAATTTTTTTTAAGTTGCCAGTCTTTAGTTATCATTTAAGTCATGAGAATTTTAATGAAACAAATTTAAAAAAAGAAAAAAAAGAGAAGACCTTACATCAATAATATCAACATCTTGAATTTTGATGCCAGTATTATCACACAACTTTCTAATAGCATCAGCTGGACCAATTCCCATGATAGTGGGATCAACACCTAAAATAGTTTTAAAAATTTAATCTTAATAACATTGTTGTATAAAAATTTGCGAAAATCAGTGAAAGTTGCAGTTATATTTAATATAAAAATTAAATATTATCTACACAAAATCTTCATCCTCTAATGTATGCATTAGTAGCACAACTTTCATTTAAATGCATTTTAAGGTGTTTGTTTAAAGAGAAGAGAATTAGAAAAGTGCATTAGTATGTTTAAAGTAATTTTATTAAAATAAAAACTAAGTAAAAAAAAAACTGAAATTACAGTTTGGCAAAATGTTTGTACAAATACTTCTATCTGAATTCACTGCTTATTCATGAGTTTTCAAAGAATTTAAATGTTTCTTGATTTAAAGAATTTTGTAATTTTACAGTTTTCTAATGAGTAAGTAATGGACAAGATTTTACTCTAATTTCTTTTTGAAATGAAACGATAATGTGGAAAATATACATTTCAGAATCCAACGTATGTCCATAAACATCACTGTTCTCAGGAAGGATTCAATCAATAATTTTATTAGTCTTTGCATGTCATAAATTTTGAGTAATTTTATAAATTGCAGTTATTCTAATATTTTTAAATTTGCATAACCATGGTATAACAGCTATAATTTCAAAGATTATGTTGCATAAAGCTTAATTATGGCTAAGTATATATTTCACTATTTTAGATAAAATATTAGATTTCATGAAAAAATAAATAAATCTCTTATTAAACTCACCAACATAACTATATCCAACTATTCTGGCCAATGGTTTAAGTGACTTAGCTTTAATGTATTCTTCACTGGCCAAAACAACAGCTGCAGCACCATCACAGATTCCCTAAAAGAATAATAAATACATATTTTTTAAACAATAAAACTAAAATAATAAAATATTTAGACAGAAAATTAAATTTACATTTGGAAAATGAACTCTTTGAAAAACAAAACAAAAACATTTAAGACTGTACATTATTTGTTTAAAGACAGCTTAAATAAGACACCAAATAAATAGTTTGATCACATTTTACTTTGCTTCTAAAAAAGAAAAAGCTTAAAAATATTAAACTTGGTCAAAATCATAATTTATTCCGCATCTTTATAGTTATACATGAATTGGTATTGTATCACATAAATAAATCACTTTTTCTGAAGGTTAAGAATAGATTGATCTTTAAAAATATGCAAAAGGAGCAATGACACTCAAAACATTCCTTTTCTGAGTTAATCTTTTGATAATAACACAATTCAAATGCAGTTTTTAAACAGTGAAAAAATTCCTATCAAGTTTCATAAGTTTTCGATTTAACACTAGAAAAACAAGTGAAAAAATATTCAATTTTTTGAAAAGAGAAACTGACTGTGCAAAATCCTTGAAAATCTGTTAGAAGTTATCCACTCTCTAGGAAATATTTTATTAATTACAATGTTAACGCAACTATGAATTTTAAAACCATAAGTAACTTTTTAAGAAACATACATTTTATGCAGCAATACAATAGATTGTCATACAGATTTAAAATAGTAATGAAATTTTTAACTTCAAAAATTATTAGATTGGTCATTAATAAAGAATAGAGATTTTTAAAAATTATAGACATGAATATACTCTTGTGATGACACAATAAGCAGAGCATATTTTTTTGCTTTTAAAATTTCTTTAATTTTATAAATTTAATTTTTAATCATTCTTAATCTAATTTTAACTGAATTAAACCAATTATTAAATTTTTATAACCTTTTATAAAAAGCAAATACAGTAGAAAACAGATTAAAAGAATGATCGGGACCATTGCTATTCTGGATAACTGATTTTTCCAGTTTTCTGATTCATTACAGACTTTTTTTTTAAAATTGATTATAAACCTAATTTAAAAATGATTTAGAAATAGTTTTAAAATGAAGAAGAAAGGATTAAGTCATGCATAATACATAAGTTTAATAAGATAACAAAAGGAAAAAAAATAACGAAATTAAAAATATATACAAAATGAACAAAAAGGTAAAATGAAAAAAAAAGTATAAGCATTTTTTTAAAAAAATTCATCCATTTTCTTTTGATGGAAAATTGGTTTTTGTTGCATAAACAACTGCTGAATTTTATAAATTGACATAATGTGAGATTCAACTACAACAAATTTTTACTCTACCCCTTTAATGAGTTCTTTCGTCAACTCGATACATCGTTCGTTCAAAATAAAGGCTCTTTGGTTTTCATCTACCTCGTCGCTTTCTTCAGCTTGGTCGTTGTCTGCGCCGGGATTTAAAACCATCTGAACTATCTCCACGTCTGACAGTTTGTTGACAATCGAAACATCGCTGTCAATGTTAAAACATTCCTCAATTTCAGACTCCGTGAAAATATTCTTTTTGATCCACCCCCTACTGTATTCTAAAAGTTCTTTCTGTAGGGCTTTCTCACTAGAAAATTCAAAAACTTCAAAAGGCGATTCATCGAAAGGAATCAGCTTGCGCCATGCATGCATTAAAGTATCGCGAGTAAATGAGTTCCAGGTTTTTTCCTCTAACCATATAGCTTCCTTTACATTGAAGGATTTCTGGAAATCTTGTATTGTTTTCCCCTCATTAGATGAATCAATCTTTTTTTTAGGAAATCTACTTTGTAGTGGCACTTGAGGCTTCTTAACACACCTTGATCCAAAGGCTGATTGATGCATATTTTGGGGGGAGGTACTCAATTTCTACATTATTTGCCTTTAGCACAGCTGCGGGGGCATGTGCTGTGCAATTATCCAATAATTTGCAATCATCAGGTAACCCCACTGAGTTACAGAGTGCCCGAGATTTTGGAACAAATTCATTTTCGAACCATTGAGTGAATAGTTCCTGTGTCACTCATGCTTTTCTGTTAGCTTTGTAACAAACTGGGAACACTAACTCCTTTCACACAAATAGGATTCTTGCTCTTGCCAATTACAGTAAGTCTTAATTTGCACGTACCAGTTGCATTGGCGCAAGCTAGCAGCGTCAATCTGCCTTTAGCAACTTTTAAATCGCTAGGGTTTGTTTCCCCTGTTAATGTGTAAGTTGTAGGAGGAAGAAATTTATAATAGAGTCCAGTCTCGTCAGCATTAAAAATCTGATCCATCCTTATATTTAGAGTTTGAACAAGGTTTAAAACTGTTTCAACATAGTTTTCTGCCGCTTCTGTATCCGCATTTGCTCTTTCTCTGCAAAGTTTTGTAAGATGAAGACCACGGCGTTACTTAAAACGGGCAAACCATCCAGTGGTATATTCACAACTGTTCTCCAGTCCAAGATCCCGGTGGAAATTTTTAGCCTGAGCCATTATAATTTGCCGACATAATGGGAATTGTTCAGATCTCCTCTGCCATATCCACTCGATCAGCACTTTATCGAGATCTTTGTTTTGAGCTTGATGCAATGTTTTTTGAGAGTTCAATGCGTCTACTTGCTCGCAACTGGAAAAAAACTTCATTAAATCCTTTTTTTGATGTCATAAATCGTTGATAACAGGCGTTATAAGACTTGCTTAGCAATTTTACTGATGAACCTTCATCTAACTTTTTCAAAATCTCTAAATTATTTTTTTACAGATAAACTGAAGAGTTTTCTTTTTTTAGACGACGATGCAGCAACTAGTTTAGAAATTTGCGAAAGACTAAGACATAAGACCTACGTAGCACGTAAAAAGTAAGTAAAAGCGAAACAAATTTTTCTGAATGATTGCACTCAGTTATGAAGAGCTCAGACATATATATTATTCATTATATGAAGAGCTGGGACTTAATGGAAAACCCCCCAGTTCTGATCAAGATCTCAGAAAATATGTCATTGGGAGATTGAGTGAGGGAGTTTCTCACTGTCTTTGCAATTCTCAGTGGGAAGAGAACATATTTAATCTGATTTCCTTTTTTACCTCAAAATAGAAGACCACCATAGAAAGTAGCAAAAATGCTCTTTAGACCAAGTGTAGATAAATCATTAGTTTTACCATAGGTTCTCAAAATAGGTTATTATTCTTGAGGAATTTTATCAATAACTTATGTTAAAGCTTTGAAAAAAAGGGAGGGGGTAATAGATAATGCAGGAAAGAATACAGCCTTCTTATCAGCATGAAGGCCATTTAGTGACATTCCCCCTTCTTGAAATTGTTCCCCTTTCTTGTCAGCAATTGAAGGTGTGCCATTCAAAACTCTAGCCTGGCTAGGCTAGAGTTTGAATGACTAGAGAATGAATAATGGGAAATATACAATTTATAGAGCAAGTCTCCCCCCCCCTCCGCTCCCAATGCCTTATCAGCACCAGACTTCCTGTGCTATAGATAACTTTAATTACAGGAAATTCTCTTAAGACTGTCCTGTTTGAAGAATTTTTTAAGGTTTTCTGATTATAAGTAACATTAATTAGGTGCATTTTGAACTATTAATGGAAAAGATTCAGGGCATTTTGAACTANCCCCCCCCCCCTCCGCTCCCAATGCCTTATCAGCACCAGACTTCCTGTGCTATAGATAACTTTAATTACAGGAAATTCTCTTAAGACTGTCCTGTTTGAAGAATTTTTTAAGGTTTTCTGATTATAAGTAACATTAATTAGGTGCATTTTGAACTATTAATGGAAAATTTCAGGGATTTTACTGAATTATTTTAAAAAAAAAAAAAAAAAAACAATGAAGGAAAAGTTTTGATCATTGTAATTAATTTTGTTTTGAATCCTTAATTACCATATTTCGAAATATATTTCTTTGAAAAATAAAATGAATACTGAATAATAAGTGAACTGGATACACTTGAATAAAAAGAAGGAAAAAAAATAGTCTGCTTGATAATAATTTAAGAATTAATTTAAAAACAAATGCTACTTAAGTAAGAATTAGGAGGATTGAACTTTCTCTCTCCCCCGCTTTCTTTTTTAATGATTTCTGTTCTTTTTATTTATAATCATTATTTTTGTATACTTTTTTTAATTGTAAAAATAAGGAAGGCGTGATTTAGAAAAATAATCCACAAATATAAAGTCACAATGCAAAATATGCTTATTAAACACTATATAAAATTAACCTTTAGAAAATCGAAACCGATGTTTTAGTTTCATCTTTCTAAAGGTATTAAACAAAATTTAAAATTCAGGACTTCTTACTTGACATATCCAAGGCAACGTAAATGCGTGTAAATGATAGGGAATGCTATTTATTTAATAAATAAATCTTCCATTTTTTTTATTCCAGGTCCCTTCATGTAAGCACTGATTCAACACTAATAAATGCTGTGCGCCTCGCGATTTTGACGATTTCTCTTTTCTGAGAATACACCTTTCATTTTTCAAAACAGATAGGATTTCATTTTCCAAAACAGATGGCAGCACTTGATTTTTTTTTCTTTTACTGATTCGGAATATTTTTATATTTTTTTTACTTTTATTAACTGTAACTTTCATTTTACTTACTTGTATTTATAACGTGTTTTGAAGGGGGGCGTTTCATAAATTGGTTTAAAATTTATACTACTTGTCTACGATAGGTACTCTGACAGACATTCGTCTGGAGGTGTGGTGGTGACTATGGTAACGAGTTATGATTATTTCCAGCAGGGGTGCTGGTCCTTCTTTAAGACTGGTTTCGGCGAGAGAAAATGACCCCTCTTTCTTCGGTCTACTGTGTTAGCTCTAAAGTGAAGAGAATTAAGTATTCGCACTTGAAACATTGTTTAGATCGTCCGATTTTCTCTTTTTTAAAAGAGTTAAAATTTTAATAGCGATTGCACCCAAAATTTGATATCATAATTTTTACATTTTTTGTTGTTTTTTAAAAAGTATATATTATACAAAACAATAGCCCAAAACGATTTTTTTTTATTT